TCACAAAGCCTTCCACGAAGACAGTAAAGATTCATTTTTTATATCTTATTTTAGATTGCATATTTATCTTACTTTATTTGGCTTTGACTTTACTTGAGCGCATTTATATATTTTGGCAGCTAAGAAAATATTTTCTTTAAAAAATTACAATTTCAGATGTCACGTAAATACAAAAGGTTTGGGGGTCTTTTTAGAAAAATGAAACAGATGATGGGTAAAAAAAAACATCAACAGATCAATCTATTACCAAAATAACCCAATAGATGCAGCTGATATAGTCATAGTCAGATTACCAAGGAATGAGCCAACTTTAAGAGAAAAGCGCTTTGAATAATAAACATATACATAAAGACCAAACCCACAGCCCACAGAGAGCTGCTGGGTGACACAGCCACTTATTTCATGAACAACAGAACAGTTTTCATAGCAAGAGATTGTTATACGTCACTGGACACAGGCAGACACGTACTAGGGTCTAACATTTTCTCTCTCAGGCACATTCAGTGAAACACATAAAGACGACCCAGGTTCTACTTGAGAAAATAATAGATGGTTAAGAAGCAGACTGGACTACTGTAAATAAGACATTTAGTCTCACTGGAACTAGCTGTATAAATGAAGGTTAAATAAATTAAAAATATTTACTGCAAGCAAAATAAAAATATTATCCACCAGCACTGCACCTTTTTCTTCTCTAATCAGAATACTTTAATAATCCTTAAGGAAATTGTGTGGGTTACAGTTGCTCCAGGAGGATAACAGTAACAGACTGAACTAATTAAATAATATAATATATTACAAAGCCTACAAAATATGAGAAATAGCTCTAAATCACAAGCTGCTTTCTGTTTCTACTGAAATAAATGTGCCAATATATAGAAAAGGATATTGGAAAATGATCAATAGAAGACTTAAAGACAATAAATGTAGATGTGGTTTTGTTTCCCACTGTAGATGGATAAATAAACAATTTTCCACGAACTGCAGACAATTTGTTTCCTTGCCAGCTTTAGTCAGGCATTGGAAAATCTCATTAAATACATTTTTTTAAAATCTACCAAGATACAATTTTTTTGTGTGCTGCTTTGTCTGCAGCAACTATGTGTTTGCATCATTGTTGTGTTGCAACTTAATATAATAATTTGGAATCTAACATTCCAAATTGGTAATCAGCAACAAGAAACCATAAGGGGTGTCAGTTATTCTGGTGCTGTGACCACCTGGCCAAGCGTTCAATATTTTTCCACATGTTTAAGGGGGTGCACCGTTCCTGGAGATACTGCAATACCAGGTCGATGCGTGGAGTGGACGGAGCAAGCCCCTATTCCATCTCCCTGTTCCAAAAATCAATTTAATATATGGTCCCCGGGTAGGGGACGTATCAGATATTAAACTGATAAGAACAGATACTACACTTGATCTTAGCCAAAAGGCCGAGAAGCGATACCGGGAATACGTCGGAGCAGACGGAGTCACTCCCCGCACCGTCTACCTCACTCACGGTTCGGAAACGTGGTCCTCTTCCGTCCAATAGGAAGCAGAAAAGCAAAAAACAAGTAGTACACTTAATTTAACAATATTAATGTTATAAAACTCACGCCCATTACGTTAAATACAAGTGCTATTTTCACTAACGAAACAGAGATTTAATTTAGCAGAAAGAGTTAATGTTTTTACGTTTCTAGTTAAGAAAAAACGAACTTCACTAGCGGTCTCTGGTGGCGCGGAGGGCTAACTGCACTCTTTAAGTTACACTCTAGGGTATTTACAACAGTCAACTCCATGAACAAATTGTAAATATTAACGAAAATCCTTTTTGTTCTGGCTCGAGAATGTAATATGTTTCACAATAATGAGCATTGTTTTCAAAATGTGTTCCATTATTTCACAATATCATTCTCACATTACATATCTGTGTCTTATTTATTCACATAGTTATTTATTTCATCTTGACCTATTTATTTATTTAATTTTGAACACTTTGGAGTTCCATAGAAACTGACTTACTAAAAGTCTCCGTCAACCTGCTAATTGATGCTCAGGTGGCGTCGAACTAGATCTGAGCATGCGCAGTGGTGGTGAGTTTGACCCACTAACTTGAACCCTCTATTAAGTACCAACAGTTTTATTGTTACTTCGTGAAATAGTTTGCCATCATATAAATGTTGTTTTTTTTTATCGGAAGCTTAATGTAGCCTTTTCACAAATAATTATGTTGGAGTTTTTATACAAATATAGCATTTATTCTGTATTTAGTTATTTTTATTTAACTTTTATTTTCATTTTTAAGACTTTCACTAAGGACTCACTACTGATGGACTGTGCCACTTAACAAAATTTAATAAAAACAAATCTCCTTTTTTGTATTTTATTTATTGATTTATTTTTACAAATATCCTCCCCCTGCTTGAATTAGCCTATGATCTTTGGTTTAGGTTTGAAACACCAGGATGAACAAGGTAGAGGCAACTGCTACAGACCCTGGATAGCTTAGATGGTAGAGTATCAAACCGTTAACCCAAGGGTACAGTGTTGAAGTCCCTATTCAAGTGAAATGAACGTCTCTTAAGTGCTTGTATTAAAGTTTAAAGTGGTGGATTTTGGGCTTAACGTTTCTGTAGCGAGCCTGGAGAGGTGAAGTTATGCTCAAGAGAGAAGTCAGTAGAAACAAAGACAGAATACATGTGTGTGAAGGAGAGGGCAACAGGTAGAAAAGTAAAGATGCAAGGAGTAGAGAGGGTGAAGGTTTATGATTTTAAATACCTGTGGTCAGCCATCCAAAACAACACGCAGTGAAGAAGAGTACAGGTGGGGTTGAGTGGGAGGAGATGATTGTCGGTGGTGATTTGTGATAGAAGGATAACAACAAGAGCGAAAGAGGAGCTTTACAAGCTGGTAATGACGCCTGCTGTCATGTATGTTTGGAGACGGTAGCACTGACAGAAAGGCAGGTGGCAGAGTTGAAGATGCTAAGATTTTCGTTGGGAGTGAGCAGGATGGAAAAGGTTAGAAATGAGTACATCAGAAAGACAGCTCAGTTTGAGCTAGTGTCAGCGTATGGATGGGCATCGGGGGTCCGGCCCACCAAGTAAAGTCACTTTGCCCTCTCAGCTGATACAGTTCCACAATAACTTATACTAATCCAAACCAGATTCAGGAGACAAATTTGGGAGCTACTTTAAGATTAGGCTTCAAATTTTCCTTTTTGATAGAGCATATAGGGTTGGATCAGTTGACCCTGCATCTTCCCTTAATTTTGCTGCTTAGATTTGGTGCTATATTAAATACAACTGAATTGAAATAAAATTCAACTGCTGCATGGCTGCAGTGTGAGTTCAGTGTAACTATTTAGTTCACAGCAGTTTAGTGCTTCAGCAGCAATCCTGCTAACCAGCGTGACAGAGGACACTGAGCAGATAAGACTGCACACACCAGACACTGAAGTACCTTTCATGTGTCTTTGAAACTTAAAAAGAGGTCATTCATGTGTGCTTGTGCAGCTAGTTTGAAAGCATGACATGCCCATCAAGTTCAAATAGTCTGTAGGCGATGTTGAGTTGAGCAGTTTGGAGAAAAAGTGGGAGAGGGTTGAGATGTGCAGAGGAGGGTGATTCTTAGTTGAGGTAAAAAGAAAGAAAAAGTTAAACTAACCAAGTAGTCAAAAACTAAGAAACACTCAGATTAAGCTGAGAACCATTAGATAGATAGACCCTTTTAAAACCAAAAATGAACACTTAAAGAAGCTATGGTTGCTATATTTTAGTGCCAATTGTGATAGCTGTCTCACTGAACTGTGATGACTGACAATGATGCCATTATTTATCCTTGTTCTAGTGTAATATGTGTTAATTACCGCGTGGTTGTGTTCACTGATAGAATTTGTGGTATGTTTTTTTTTGTTCCAGGGACAAACATATTGATCCCTCCAGTTTTTCCACTTCTTTGTGCATTCCCACATGTCCATTCCTTTAGTTTCAGCGATCTTCCTCCAATAATTTGCTGATATTTCTAAGTCCTTGTATTATTATTATTATTATTATTATTCCTTGTATTTAGATGAAGATTGTTATTTTGTTATTGATAAATTCAAAAACTGGGGCAAAAAGGAAATAACCTGGAAATGCACAGGAGGACTAGAACAGAAGCAGAGCAGGTCAATCAGGAGTTGTGGGCAGCACCGACGTGACAAGTACTTACGTTATAGGGATCTGTGTGTCTCCACAACTGTTCTCAAACTAACGAAGGCGCTTGGACAGGAGACGAAACCTGATGTCCTCCTTCACTTTCAACATTTCTTTCAACTTTTTACTAAGCGTGTCAGTGAAAAGCTATGAAACGGAAGTTCAGCCCTCAAATCAATCCCAGTTGTTTATCCGCTTTTATTGTGATAATGAGGGAACGGGCCTCACATGGCCAAGAAAGTGCATATGGTACTTTTGAGTCTTTTAAAATATATTAAAATAATAAATCCTCAGCTAATCCAACCCCCTTGAATTAAAGCTTTAAGTTTAAAGAAATTCAATCATGTCTTCAGCGTTTGAGTTAAAATCCACTGTGACACTGTACAGAGATACAAAAACTGTATTACTGCCCCCCCCCAAAAAAAACCAACCAAACAAACCTTTGCCTTTATAGCTAAGAATTAAATTAATTACATTTGTTTTTACCTGGTGACCGGTCTGTCGAAACAGAGACACAGGCATCCATTCATTAAGCTAATTTAGCGTCACCAGTTAACCTAACATGCATAAAGGATACTCATGTGGGTACACATGGGAAAGCCCCCAGCCCACCGATTCAAATCCAGGACCCTCTTACTGTGAGGTGACCACCACTACTTATTAATCTGCAAAACATTTCACTGTATTTATGAGTCGAGACATGAAAAATGTCCTTTACGTTTCAGATTACAGCAAGTGTTTGATAGCTGGATGACTCTACGAATCACTGACTTTGATTGTTATATTGGTTCAGTTATAAAAAAAGACTCAGACACGTTGAACCTTGAAAATAAATAAACTATATTTAAATAAGGTCAACTTCACTTGATTAAAGACCTTCGTTTTCTTTCAGGAACACGTTACACCTCATGCCATGATTCAAAACCGAGTTTTTTTCTACGATTTTTTTTGTTGCATTTCATAAAAAAACTTAAATATCATCTTTAGTTAATTTATTACAGTATCGAATAAATGTTTATGTCTATCACATGACATCGTAATAATTTCAGTCATTATTTCCCTACAAAGATTCAGGCAGAGAGAAATTTTCATCATCACAGGAAACGACTTCACAGAGAGACACACTGAAGAGAGCAAGACCCGGGAGGGGAGGAGAGGAGGCTGAACACGAACACAGACACTGAAATATCATACAGCAACAAACAAAAAGATGACCTGGGATGTAGCCTGGACCCAGCACAGCAGGATCTCTTTTCACAGCTTCTACAGAAACAGGTGAGGAGGAGACTCTGACTCCAGGAATGGTGCTTGTTTGTGTTTCTGTTCAGTCTGTCTGAACCGAGCAGTGGTTGTGCGTGTCACACTTGCTCACTTTATTTCACAAGGGGAATCGATCTGACAGAATGACCGACAGGCATCCATCACAGTAGACCATGCTGCTATAACGCACGTACACCGGGCTTCTTCGTCATGCATGTGCAGGGGAACACAGGAGGGGATGTAAACATGGATGCACACTGGGGAGGGGCAGGTAAGGAGGGGAGGCTGATAAGAGCCGGGGGTGGGGGCATTACATCTAGCTACAGAACAGCGAAGACCAAAGGCCGACAGTTAGTACAGAAGTTTGTGGAAACATGGAACATTGTCCGGACATTGTAGACAGTTCTGTTTTTGGCTCCTGGGCCACACCGAGGTCACAAATGCACACATTGTGGAGGTGATTCGCTCTGTTCCTGCTGGTGCTGGTCATTACACAAGAGTTCAGCAGACCTCTGCATGTGTGCGTGTGTGTGTTTCATATCTAATGTTGGTCCCACCTGGTGGTTTGAGTGAGTACTGTTCAGGGGATTGTTTGAACCTCACACACAACAAACCTGCCTCACAGCCACAGCTAATATCTACAAAACTTTAGCTCACAACAGCCTGAGACTGACAATTATACTGGCAATGTTCCACACTGTTTCTTTATGTAAACATGCTACTTACACTCAAAGTTCCTCCGTCACAAGGACAACATGAAGAAGTGTACACTGGCGGAGGGTTACAACAAACACTGCGGCAGGAAAAAAAGACACGGACCGAGCTCGAACAAAGTAAGCTGCAGCTGAACCTTTTCTCGTATTGCACATTGAAACTTAATTCCATGAATAAACTCCAAACTGTTCTCCTCAAGGACCTGCAGCACATCTTATGCTTAGAGAAATAATCTTCTATAAATAAATAAATAAATATATAAATTATCTACTATACATGAAAAACAAAGACACAAATGAGTTAGCGGACCGTGTATTTCAGTAAATTAGATGCTTTAAAGTTTGGTTATGATGCACTACTACACCGTTAAAGGGGAGATTCCTCTCTGTGGAAAATATATCAAAGTCTAATCCACTAAATTCAGACACCATGTAGTCTACATACCAGCTTTATACACTGAAACTATCCTAAATGTCGTTTAGAAATACAAAAAAATCTACCTTGGCTACATCTGCAAGGAAAAAGATACAAAACTGGATTTTAGAAAGTTTACAAAGTTAGTCAGGGTTAACCAATCGAATCCTTTTCAAATTGTCATGTTTAACAACAATAATGAAGAGTTCCACTTGTATAGCACTTATCATCTGTGGGTGAGAGGTTTAAAATGCAATGTCCTCAAAGAAATATATTTAATAGGACTGAAATTAGGCAGTTACAATACTAATAATAATAATAATTGAAGCTTTTAGTCATTATTATTATTATAAGACAATCTTACTGCTGTTTGTTGTGACATTTTTCACATGCTGGCTTTCCTGCTTCATGCATCTCAGTGCTGAACATAGTAGCTCTGAAATGCCAGCGTGGAAATGTCGAAACAAATCAGAGCGTGTTCGCACACCGTCCAGTGTTTTATGGTGTATTTAGCAGCCAATTTCTTCAGTAGCTTGTGAACATTTGTTCCAAGTCTGCCATGCAATACTGAGCAACACATGCATGCCTTGCAGAGCCGTGTTTCCTAATGCATTTCCCATAGAAACCAGTCTCTGCTGTGGCACTATGCCACTCCCGTGTAGACATCCTCATTTGAAGTAGACCCTCTGGTGAAGGAGAGGCGATGAATTACATTGCACGGGACAACATGATGGGTCCACCTGGATCTGGTGTTAGCCGAACCAGTGGAAACTCGAGACAGTTCTCCCTTCGTATATTGCACAGTAACCACTTATAGAATGATGGAGGAAAAGATAAGCACAACACAGTGTTTTAGTTATGTTAAATAAAGTGCAGCCTGGGCAGTTTGTACAGCAGAAATCTTGAATACTAGATTTTTTTACTTGAGCTTCCCTTAAGGCATTTTTTGTTTGCTATCTTAAAGCATCAGTGTGCTGTAGACTACAGTCCTGCAGCCTAATTAATGTGTAGATTATTAGCTTTTTCCTAACAAATGCTGCAGACCGGATGTTGATGATCGCAGTCAGCAACTTTAGAGACTTTATTTTTGAGAGTAAACTAACACTGTTGAGTCCTGTTGTCTGCCCATGCTGCTGTTGCTTACGATAAAGGAATGGACGAGTCTGCCACTAACAGTAACACAGTGATGGCTGACTGCAGCTCATCAGCCCATCTGACTGCCTCAGACAAAGTTTTTAAATGACACTGCACACATCGGGAGTGTGAGAGCGCATATTTGGTCCTTCAGGAGATGAAAATGTCCTTTTTGTTCCTCCTGGACCAAACGGCTTCTTCTGTTTTATACAGGAAGATTTAACATCAAGGACTAGCTGACAGTTTCTGTTCACCGAGTCGACACAAAAACACAGGGATGTAATTTACAGGTGGATAATCAGGCTGGTTATTCCCTTTTTCATAGCATGTACATGACATATAATGTGAAGATGCTCTGTACATGGCTATACATGCAAAAAATAATCCTTCAGCTTTATATGCAAGCCCCTGTCAGAGGGGCTGTGGTCTGGTAAAGCGAGTGGTACACGGATGTTCTTTTAGTCAGTGTTACACTTATGCAGCTTCCTATTTGCTTGTTTTGGTTGCTAAAACTTTTATTTTCCACTTAGCATGTCGCTAAAACTAAAACCGCTGACATTTGTAATCTTTGCAACTACCAGTGTTCCAGTCTGTGCATGAATTCGAAAATCATCTAAGCTTTGCTGACAACGACAGTAGAAACCTGCGTTTCTGCCTCTGCATCCTTTTGTGTGGCAGCCTGCCCTGTGAAATTACTGCACTCTATATTTGTACTATTTACAGCGCGTGTGGAGAGCCACCTTCAGCTATACTGTGTATTAGACAAGCATCACCACTATATAAGAATCTCTTGTAGTAAACAAATGTAATGTTGTTGTAAACATTTGACTCCTTATTTGATGCAGTGCTCCTCCACTTCCTCAGTGAAGAAACATGAAGCTGCAGAGTTGGTGGACTGAATGAGAGACTAAAGGAAAACAAAAGTATTTTTCCTTCTATGCTCACAGGATTGTGATCCATCTCAGTGGTCTGATCCTGCAAGTGAGCTCCTCAACTCAACTCAACTCAACTCAAAAATAAATAAATACACACCTGGCTTTAACGTGAATAAAGCATCCTCTGACTGACCTGACCTTCTTTTTACCTCTGAATCTCCCGTCACAGTCATTCTCTGTCACTCTCCGTCTGCTCCCCGTTAACTATCTGCAGTAACCTTTCGTTTTCACGCTCTCACCCTCCAAAAATACTTCCTCTTAACCCTCATCTTTCAAGTAACAATGAGTGTGTTTGAAATGCGCTGTTTACACATGCTTAAATGTAGTGTTTGTGTGTTTGTGAACATGTATCTGAAGCCCTATTAACCAGATGAATCTTACACTTGTTTCGTGTTAAACCGTGGACCGAATGGACTGACAGTCAAAGATTTTGTGTGTGCTGCTGTGCAAAATTCTTCTGGAACATTCTTCATCTCCTCTTTAAAAGCCGTTGATGTGACAGTAGGCCTCCAGGCTGGAGAAGAGGATGTAGAGGAACCACAGACCCAGGAACAGGAGGGTGGTCAGGAGGCGGGACCCCTTCGGGCCGCCGAGCTCTCCGCCGATGGAGGGCCGGCGTCTGAACAATAGCACGGACATGCAGATGAACGCGAAGATGGTGAAGAGCGTGACGGAGAACGCCAGTGATCCAGGATCCACCTGGAACTCCTTTCCTTTGATTCTCCAGTACACGGCAGCCACTGACCACGCCACTCCGATCCCCAGGAACACGTTAACTGCGTTGCTGCCAGTGACATTTCCAACCGATGCGTCCGCATGCTGGTCCTGTATGGCAGCCACTTTGCTAGCAAAGGTGTCTGGGGGAGGAAAAAGTGGAAAATGTGGGTCATACACCTTCAAGCACACACAAACAAACACACAGACAGAAAGACAATCGCCCTCCCAGAAAATGTTTCTTATCCATCCATCCATCTATTCGCTTCCACTTCTCCTTTTCAGGGTCACGGGGGGCGCTGGAGCCTATCCCAGCTGTCATAGGGCGAGAGGCAGGGTACACCCTGGACAGGTCACACAGAGACAGACAACCATTCGCACTCAGCTTCACTCCCGCATTCACACCTGTGGACAATTTAGATTAAACAATTAACCTATCCCCACAAACTGCATGTCTTTGGACTGTGGGAGGAAGCCGGAGTAATGTTTTTAATAGAAAGCAATTAGATGATTCCAAAGAGACAAACAATGACCAAAAAGATACAAAAAAAAAGAAAAAAAAACAACTGCAAAGGTACAAAATGATTGACAGAAACTCAAAGCAACTACAGAGAGATCCAAAATTACTTTAATGAGGCTCAAAGCTTGTGTCCAATAAGATATAAAATAATTTAGAGACACAAAAATGACAAAAAAGTGACTAAAAACAACTAAAAAGATGCAAACTGACAAATAGACACAAAATGGCCAGAAAGACAAACAAATCACCACTATTCTTATTGTATATATTGTATATCATATTCCTCTGTTCCCTGTCTCTCTTGCTGCATTGAGCATGTGTATGACAAAAGAATTTACCTCGGGATAAATAAAGTTCTTCTTATCTTATCTTACAAAACAAAAGATACAAATAAATGATTATAAACAGATGCAAAAAAGCAAAATGGCTGAAAGACACAAAACAACTACAAAGAGTTACAAGTTACAAAGTGACACTACATGCACTCATAAATCTGGGTATTCTCCCATAATCCATCAAAAACTCCTTTCTGCCTTTTCTTTCTCTCACACAGTGAAACGGGACATTTACTCACCTGGAATGGAAGTTCCCAGCGCCACAAACACCACGGCGGTCACGGTGTCCCGCAGCCCCACAGTGCAGCCGAAATGTGATGCCAAATCCCCGATGATGGCGGTGAGGAGGCCGATGACGCTGATGGACACGAAGAAGCAGGCCCAGCCGTTCCAGTACTCTGTTGGCGGGACGCAGGCGAACAGAACCTTCCAGAAGACAGTGAGGAAATGCATGACGTAGTCATAACAAGATGGAAGGCGCTCCTCACGACCTTCCTCCTCGTCATCATCGCCATCACCTGGAAGAGCCAAACACACAGTGATATTTTTTACAGGTTACGAACAGCATGGAGATCATACTACTCAGAGTACTCAGGGGGTTTGGACCCAGTGCGTGACCTGGGTTTACGCTGTCACGAGGAAGGTCTTTTTGATTCTGTAGGTGATGTGTGGGATTCATGTCCTGCCAGTTTCATGGCGTGGCAGGATATTAATCCCATAAATGTGCTGTTGCAGTCGTAGCTCTCTAACCCTGAAGTGACCAAACTATCTTAGCACCTTAAAGGACAGAGCGGCCTTTGACTTTTGTACAGGAACACTTTAAAAAATCTTTATCATACTTTTACTGGGTCCTTTATCTATTATATATTTCTTAAATGTTGAAATGTTAAAGAAATAAGCTTATTTGAACAGTCATCATCTCTTACTTCATACAAACCAGATTAAAAAAAAAAAAATCTTATATTTAACATAACAAAATACAATGAAAACAAAACCCATCACGGTAAAAACACATTTTTCATTATCCACTCCATAACAGGGGCTAATTCCTGTAAAAAGCTATGAAAAGTTGTAGAATTAGTCAAATTAATGATATAGGAAACATTTTTATAATAGAAATTTCACAGCTACACATAGAAATATGCTTCAAGGAATACAGTTAGCTGACTGTCTGCAGAGATCTGTTACGTCCACTAGATGGTGGCCTTCACTTACAAATCTGACCTCCACCGACCCTTCGTGCCTGAAAAAGGCAGCTATTTAAAATATTAGACTTATTATTTTTCTTACACTACAGACTAGAAGCATGCTAATATATTTTACTGATTAGAGGAGCAGTTTACAGCAACATTTGGTGCTTTGTTTTTAGGGATTGAATTATGTCTAATTCAAGCATCTTTTTCTCATTTAGCATAATTTACCTGCGATGTTGTTACGGTTTTACATTTCAGTTAAATCACACTGTCACACAGAATTCAATGACAGACAGAGAGATTGGTGTTTCCATAAGAACAGATGACTCTATTTTCTTCAATGTGTTTTTTCTATACAACATTTACAGATCAATGCCTTTGGAAGTGACACAATAAAACAACAACATTACAAGCTAGCATCTTTTTGTACATGTGACATGCTGGAGATGCTGTCTGAATCCAAGAAGAGGAAACGGCACACACTGGGCTACAGGGACCGGTAGAGGTGGGTGTAGGACTAGACAATAATGATGATTAAACACCTCAGCGACCCTGGGTAAGGTGTTCCCACAGCTCTGCTGCTACCCTGCTCTCTCTCGCTAAGGGCAACGTCTCTGTGATGAATCAGCTGTTTATGTGCTTGAGAAGAGGAATGAATCTTTTCTTTTTTATCTGACTAATTTTTGGGGCGAAGATACAATGTAACAAATGCACGCTGAGTACATACTGTGTGTAAAAATAGATGTAGCAACCAGGTCTGGAAAATAAAGCCTTTCTTTTAAATGAAATTCTTTTAAATCACCAGAAAGCTGGGAACTCTTGAGGTTGAAGAAAGGAGACTTGTACATGAGCTCCCTCACCTTCCTGATGCTTTTATGCTCTTAATTGGTAATTTTAGATGACAACACAAAGAACATGAAGGTCATTTTGTAGCATTTGAGGATAGAGGATAAAGCAAGGTATGCTTCATCAAGGGATTTACAAGTCACCCACATATGAAGACACAGTGTCACTTTGATTCTAACTCCGATCCACCCCTCCCTTAGCTGATGATGCCACAACGGTGACGTCACAGTATATCTTTTATATACAATCTGTGATCCTGGTATAAGGCCCCGCCTTGGTAAAATCCCCCTTTTACCCACAACATTTGATCAGTCTTCTCCTTCAGTGAAATTCATCTGGCAGCTTTTAAACAGCCAATGTCAGTATCTTCTAAAGCAAAGCTGGGAAAACTCTGCATCTCATTATTAAAACAAAACACAAAGAGGGCAGACTTCATGTTGCCTGAGTGATTTTGAGTTCGCTGTTTTGAGCACATTAAAAGGTGATTGGACATTTTTTAACATGAGTTCTGGCTTAATGTGGAGATAGTTAACTTGCCAGTGAACACAGACAGGAAGCTGTATTACAGCTGATGGTGCTCAAGTCTGAACAGCTGTTGAACTATAGCTGTGTTAAACATCCCTGTAAGCGGGAGCCCAGGGAGGGAACTTCCCCTCCTATCTATCTATATTAAATCTTACTATTACTGACCAGACTGGTAACCACTGAGCATCTTAACTGGGAGGAGTGATTTTCTGTGTATCCTACCAAGAGACTGTAACTTGGCTAAATTCTAGTCATCAAATGAAAACTTGTGCATACAAATCTGAGTTACCAAAACTGTCTTCCTGAAGAATCTTTAATAAAAAAAAGACGACGATGCAAACAATCAGGTGTCGGTAGCTAACAAGGCTTTGTTCAGGCTGGCGTAACATTAATACCAGTCTGCTGGCTGGGTGAAAGCTCACTCATTCAGCAGCCTCCTTCTATCCTAATCCTGTGCTGTCTTATAGCTATACACACATTAGGCCAGACAGTCTACATGAATTACACCAGCATGAAGCAACATTACAGTAGCACTCCTATCTCTACTTGAACCTAGTAGTAGTGGACTAATTGGGTAATGACACGGTTTTGTAATTGTGTCCCTGTACACCTAATGGTGGATTTTAAAACATAATCAAGATGTGACTGAAGTGCAAATGTTGGGGCTTTAGTGTAAAAAAAGGGATCAACAGCTTTTCTTTTAGTTTCATTCGTTTACAAAATGCTAAAACGTCAATTTAATTCATTATGAATCAAGTCGATGTGTCACAGCAGTCTGCGTGAGGGTGTGGATCAATTTTTAAAGCACAGTAGACTCTTTAATGGCACTTTTACAGATGGCCAAAATCAAAATCATTGTTACGTGTCTGCAGGCTGCATGTTTTCTTTCCCTTTCCTTTTGTTTGCCATTTCCTCAGGTACACAGACTGCAGGCTGGTGTCAATTTGGGGATTTCCAGCTAATTAGAGGAAGGAGGCTTTGATTGGACAAACCAGGAGTGCACACCTTGATAAGGAGACTCACCTGTGGTTGGGGGCAGATCTCTCTTCCTTGCGTAGAATTGTTTGGCACATGTGTAGAGTGCCTCTGGTGTATTTTTTTTGTTTGAGGTTGTGTTTGAGTAAAGAGGTAGCTAGTCTGGGACCCCATACACCTACTACCTCCACATGGAGTCCTTTCTGTTAGAAACACTAGATAAGTAGGTTGGTGTCATCCATGTTTTTTTTTGGCCAACCTAACTGTCCCTTTCTCCCCATATTTGTTGTATGAAGTTTGGTTATTGTTTTTGTGAGAAAGCTGCCATTAAACTTGTTTCTGTTTATAAAACTTGTACCGAGTATCTGGAGTTGTTGTGTTACCCCCTCCTGCCCTCGAGGAGGCGTAACAATCCTAAACTTCAGATGATCCTCGGTCACACTCACAGCTTCTGCTTAGACTGGCTGACTGTGTCGTTAAAGGGGGGAGAGCGTCCATGTGACAGCTGTTTGTTCACTCTAGTAATGCGTCCACTGACAGACTCTCACAAACAGAGCTCACCTGCACTGACAGTGACCGCCTCCACAAACTGTTCCCTCCAGGAGTGTGTGCCGATAACCAGCGCCAAGTTGGTCTTCTTAATGAGCTTGTCAACAGTGCTCTGCCAATCACAAGCACAACACACTTCATTAGCAAGCAATTAAATCCAAGGATAGATGACAAGAGTCACTCAGGTGAGATAGAGCTTGTTAGTCATGCTTTGTGCAGCTGAAGGGAAGAGGAGAAAAGTTTAGGGGGCCTTCAAAAACTCACACATATGAGTTTACCTGTCAGGAGGACGGTTTTGGCTTAAAAGTGCAGCCGGCAGGTGGGACGGCTCTAATAAAAGATGCTCCTGCGCTGCGTTATAGGAAGTGTTAGGAGGAAGACTATTTCTGGGCATTTGATTCAGTTTTGACAGTTACAGTGTATGAAAAAAGGATTTGCCCGCTCGTTTGTATTTCAGATCATCAAACACAATGTAACATAAAGCTAGGCAAAGGAAACCTGAGTAAATGCAAAATGCAGTTTCATTTCATTTATTAAGGGGAAAAGCTCTGCACTCTGATTTTCATACTAACAGTGCTGACCATAAGGACAACCAACCAGATCCAGCTGACGGTTTACCTGCAAACTCTCACAGAAGCTGAACAGATGCATCATAAAGACGAGCTTTGTTTGTCTTTGTGATTTCTTACTTGCAAAGAATCTCGGGACCTTTTGCATATTAGGTGATCGTGTTAACCACGACCACCTAAATTAAATGACACTGTATTTAGTTACGAGTTGCGTAAGCTTTCATGACATCTGTCATATATGAAGTGAGGCCGACAAAGACACCACATCAGATATTTCACTCACTGCTGCATGTGTTACACATTTTTTTCTTTTTCTTTTCAGATTATTTAATTTTCCATATAATGACACACCCATCATCAGTTCGATTCAGTTAGAGGAGCTGTGTGTAGACCTCGAAGCCAAAACGTCAACATCTGGGCATCGATGATAAAATCGTCTCTGTATGATTGAAGTACGTGCAGTTTGTCTGCAGCTGCACAAACACATGAGGTAAAAGCTCAGTGTGCTCGGTCGAGTTTGGAGCTGTGAAACTCACTTCAGCAATTTAACCAGCAAACACAAGAAGGAGCAGATGATACAGTGCAAACATGCACACCTCTCCCACTGTTTTACATACTTCACAGTGACTGCGTTATTCCTCAAGGTCACTCACACTATCCACTAATGATGAGCGACAAGTACAATTTTATTTGATCACAAGGGGTTGGTTTAATCAAGCGGAGGATGACGATCTGGTGTCTCAGTGGACGGTGTTTGATGTGATGATGGAATGATGGCTCTCCTCCGTCGGCGTTGTTGATGTTTGTTCAGCGCTCGTTCCTCGTGTAATTAATCCTCAAACAAATCCAAGCTTCTGCTCGCGTTTAATTGGCTTAGAGTGAGACTGGTGTTTGAGTTGTTCGTGTCCTTCGTTGAGCTGACCTTATCTGCTTTGACACATTTTGTGTTAATTAGATTTCAGATCATTCAGAGGAAAGCATAAAAGCAAACAAGGTGTATTTCAGCGACTGCTTATTGTGACAGCACTTGTGTTATTCACTGCATTTAAGAAGGATTTTCATGATTTAAAACCTGTGAAACACCCACTGCTTACATAAGAGCTGATGATAACAGGAATTAAGAGAACTTGTTGATGGTTAAATTATTTAATTTTGTGTATTTCACACAGACTCAGACCTGTAATACAATAAAAACCTCCTAGCAAAACAGAAAATGGTCCTTTCACATGTTACGATTCCTTAATTAAACGTTCGTGAAGTGTAATTAAAAATGACGGATTATCATCCATCCAAATGGTCCTTCTGCATGTTTGTCACCAGTAAACTAATCTAATGTTATTGCTTGGAGCATGCAGGAGGCAGAGGGCTTATGTGGAGGTGGTGGCTGCTTTTATTTGCTTAAAATACAACCTGAGCTCAGCCCAAAGCACCATGCAAATATCTGGACAGCTTGCAGAAGAAAGAAGCACACGGAGGATGCTTTGCAAACTCTGAGAGAGTCTGCATCCTCCGTGCGCCTCGACAGGGCTGCTATATTGAGGGCAACTCATGCATTTTCAATAATTTAAACCCACTTTAGACCGGCACACTGAGAGAGGGTTAAGACCGAGGTTTAACAATGTGAGAAAGCGCGTAAAGGTGGATTGCATAACTCTGCCAGGAGAGCACAGTTCCTTCTATTTAGCATTTGTTTTTGCCCTCAGAAATCAGTAAATTAACCTCTGTCTGCAGTGCAATGGAAATATCATGAGGTCAAAGAAAGATGTGAGGGAAAAGAGAGTCTCAGTGCACAGAAAATGCAACCTCTCTACTCTAAAGGCTTCTTCGTGATGTGACCGTAGATGCCTGCTGGGTTGATAACACCCTGAAGATTGTGACTCATGCGTGCATGCTCTCCCTGTGTCTGCATGTCCTCCAGCTTCCTTCCACAGATGAATAACGTGAATATTGGGTGATTGTAAATTGGTCGTAGGCATGAATGGTTGTGTCTCTCTCTCTCTGTGTTAGTGCAGCAGTAGACTGATAACTTCCATAGTGTACCCTGCTACTGGGCCTACAACAGCTCCAGCACCCGAGAGACTCTGAACTGGTAAGAACTGGTTAAGAAAATGAATGGATGGATCACCATAATTAACATTTACATGGTGGGATAGAATTATCTTCGTTTCTTTCATAAATAAAAGGTCCAGCAGATGCTAAAGGTGGTAATAGAAAAGCACTGAGCCACCTGTCCTTATAAATAAACAGTTGCCATGCTTATATGGAATATGTGCATGGCATGAGGTGTGTGTATAAAAAAGTGAAATTCATCAAAGTAATAAAATACAGACATTATTAGTTCACTTGAAATTAAAATAGCACAAAATAAAATGTTATTTACTCGCTGGCTCTGGACCTGTGGTGGCTCTGACTCACTCCTCCCGCCTAAACCAATTCTTAGTCCTAAGCCACTAAACACAACCCAGTCAGAGGAGCTGTAGGGCGAGCTGCAAGTTTGTAGCGTTCCCTTTGAGGCTTTTCAAAGTTAAAACCATGCAAAGGGTCATACATACACTCACTACATACGCTGGCACGGCTGGCAGCCTTAACCCAATTTCCCTCGGGATGAATAAAGTATGATCAAACGATCACTGCCCTCATTTAGGAACTACAACCCAACTGCTATGAAAGACTGTTGGAGTTTGTATTGAGGCCACAGGAGGAAAAGCCCTTTCTTGGAAACACTGAGGTGTGCATTTAAACTTGTTGCAAGTCAGCTTAGGTTTGTTGCGTTTCTTCTAATAACACTACAAATCTAGTGTTACAAAACAAGCCCACATCCTATCACACTCTGTCCTCTGCAGCTCCCTCAAACAACGTGCTGAGCTCTGCTTTATCCCAAATGGAGTTTCTATGCTGCTTCTTCTCCTTTCCTTTTTTTTAAACTGCAATAAATAAATCAAGTGGAGTGATAAACGTTAAAGCTGCTGTGGGGCAATAATCAATAAGTCATCAATGTGTTAAATTTTAACACATTCAATAACTTCAATAAAAAAAAGACATGCAGCAATAAATTTATTTTTACTGCACAGAGAGGACAACGGTGTGACAGAGGAAGAAGAGAAGATGAATCATCACCTTGAACTCATACGACTCTTCAATGACCACCTCCAGACGGCTGTGCTCTCCCAGGATGGGCTTCCCCATCTCTGCTATCCTCCGAGCCTCCTCCTCCTCAGCAGTCATCTGCCCCTCTGTCCCCTCTGTGGAAGATGGATGTGAAGGAAAGAGAAGGGACAGCACAGTGAGACTGGCCTGAAACTAAGAAACTTGTAATGGTACTTCCACAATGAAGTGTTTTATTTTAAGGAGCACTTGTGCGCATCACCATGAGCCTGAAATACGAGTTTTTATGTGTCCGTGACAGATACCTGCGTGTGTGTGTGTGTGTGTGTGTGTGTGTGTGTGTGTCGCTCCATGGAGACAAAGGGTGGGTGGCAGAATATTTGTACCATATGTTCAGAGAAATACTAAAATAAAAAAATAATTTAAGGCATAAGCATGTCACATTATGTGAGTCAGTCTAAGGGATTTACATAAGAGTCATTCAATTCATATTTGATCAGAGTGGATTTTTTTAAAAACTGAAAACCCCAAAAGATTTTACTTTTGTCAGTTTTAGTTTCATTATTATCATAATCAAAATGATCATCTTCACCATCATAGATATGGTGATTTAAGCTGCAGTGTTTCCAATTTTACTTACAATAAATAAACAACCTGGTTAACTCAAATTTTCTACCAGCATTAAAACCAGACCAACTGGGGCATAAATGTTTTTCAAACAGGTTAGGGTATGTTTCGGGTGGGGCTTGTACGGCTTAAAGTCAGTAATTCAAGTCAGTTTTAAAATGTTGATACCACAAACAGGTTGACTTGGTTTAAGTGGCAGGCAATAAACAGAATGGAACACACTGAAATGTGTTGAAATCACTGATTTGTTAGTGAATCCATTTCCGTCCTGGAGGAGTTTACTGTACATTTTTTCTTATGAAATTTAAGTTAATGACACTCTTTGTGGAAAACAGTGTTGCTTATGTAAACTATATTTCTGAAAAAATAAAATTGACCCATGAAACCCACATATTGAAACTTAAACCAACAGTTTTGGACTCAAAGATTTATTTTCCTGTGACCCAGAGCAAAAAAAAAAAAATTAATTTTGCATAATAAATGACTTAAACAAATAACAAATAAAATTTATAACTGCACAAATCGACTCACTGTGCCTTTGTTATTAAAAAAAAATAAATCAGTGTTAACAAATGGAAAATTAGTTATGTGAGGCCTTCCTCTTAACCAAGCAACATTGTTGCTTATGACTTATGAGGGGAGGAGCTAAAGCAGCTTGTTTGAGACTGTGGATAAGCCGAGGCTGCAGTATAGCCCTTCAGTTTAAGGATCATCATGAATGTTGACTCATGAAAAGCTTCTCCAGTGGAGTCTGATAATAAAACTAAGCAGCTGAAAATGAGCATAAATGGTCAACTTTAAGCCAAAACAACTCTAACATTTTTCTATGGCATAAATTCAGCTGGCTGAAACAATGCAAAATGCTAATAAGCTAAACCGTGTGCTTTATATACACACCTGCTTCAGTCTGAGAGAGAAAACACTAAAGAGCTTGCAGAAAGAGTTCATTTACGCTGACATATGGCTCAGTTTGGTTTACTGATCAACTGCCAACAGAGTGGCAACGGCAGCTACACCAACCAGAGTTCATCTTGGAGAAATAACCGAGAGCCAATCAGGGTTTGTATTACAGCCAACAATATTTTCCTTACACTAGAGACAGGTAGTAGCTGTCTGGGGGTTCACAGAGAGCTTGAGTTTAAGGCTCATTGTGTTTCGAGCGGGATTTACTCGCGTGGCCTTTCTGCTCAGAGAAAAGAAGAAAGGAAAGAGACGAGGATTAGACCTCCCCTCTCCACTTTATGGTGTATACATCTAATTCCAAAAAGGCTGAGAGCGCAAAGCAGCATATGGCAGTATTCACTGGCACTATTTCAAGCTGTCATAAACACCGACGCACACACACACACACACTCGGCTTGTGTGACTTCTCTTAGCTTTAAGGTACTTCTCTGAGCACAAACATATTTACCTCAGGGAAGGAGCTCTGCCTCCCCCAGTGTGACAGTCGATGGAGTTGAATGAGAAATTACCTTCAGGTCAACAAGTGTCATTGTAAACCACTTCTACTGGAGAGCTTCCTGCACTCAGCGCACTTTTCCTCAGTCTATGAGCATCTCATTCATGCTTTTTCTGCCTCTAATGGTCGGTCATTTGAGGTTAAAGCTGCTCAGTTGCTTTGATAGCAAGTTTGACAGGAAGTATACTCTAAACTCTGGAAGGTTTAGTTAATGGAAAAATGTTATGGCTGCCTGTTTGTTTACTGCTGGCAGAGCTGAGCATTGATTTTTGATTTTTAACTGTCTGTGTTGATCATAAACTTAAAAGAGCTCCTGAAATGAAAATGTGGGAGGACTGCGATTTTGATTTGACATATATTTAATTAAATGTGATCTGACATTTATTGGTAACTGGGTAAGCTCTTTTTGTGGAGCTATTTCTTTTAATAAAACGCTTATATAGATTTTTACTTACTGAGCTACGTGATTTTATGTTGCTTTATTTTTTTGTACTTGTTAGACTGTTTTCTTTTTACGTTATTGAGCTTTTTGAGCTGTTCTATGTTATTATACTTCCCAAGATGGGATTTAACAAAAGTATATCTCACCTCATCTTCTTTCCTTTCCTTTAGCATTATGGATATCATGTAAGACAGCATTTTATTTTAATATAAACAGTTTTGCTTTTTTAAGCTTTCCACACGTGAAACTCCAGAACAATAAGCTGTGTATATAATATAGTATTAATATTCATAATATTCTTGACTTAGAAAGGCCACAAACACTCTGACAAATCTGTACAAACCACCAAGTGTTGATTTTTTTGTGAGTCTTTATTCACAAGCTGCTCACAGCTCTGCTGTGGTCCAGATGCAAACAGGTGGCTATAACAACTTTGCTGTATCTAGAATATAAAAATCATCTGGAATAATTATTGCATCTATGAGTGATTAAAATTGTTAAATTAAAAATTGGAAACTCTTTAAATTAAAATTTCAGATGGGTTTGAAGCTGGAAATCAAAGGGGTGATGTTGGGTGGATATGCTAAACTGTGGAGTGGAAGTGAGTGTCCTCAGGGCGAGGAGCAGAATGGACATGTAGGTGAATTGAACTGAAGTGATGAAGAGGTGTTGGGTAGATTTGTTGTAAGGAGAAATGTGGAAGAACAGATATATGGTTGCTACCAGGACGAAAGGACTGTGGTGAACACCGACTTCAAGAAGAGGCAGGAGCGCAGGGTGGCATAATGGCGGAGAAGGTGGATGCAAGCTGGTGTCAGAGGAGAATGCAGCTTGGCAGTCTGTAGGATGACTTTGGAAATTAAGGAGATGATGAATGGTGGAAGCTGAAGAAGGAAGAATGTTGCACAGAGTTCAGGGAGAGTTGAGGCAGACTGAGTGGTAGGAAGAGTCAGTAGATAACTGAGAAAGCACAGCTGTAGGAAAAGTCCCAAGATTTGGTATTTGGTTTATCCTTTGGATAAAGGAAAGAGGGTAGGAAGACTTGGTGGCGAAACAAGGAAGTATAGGACAACATTCAAAGGAAGAAGTTGGATAGTCAGGATGGAGAAAATAGACAGGAGTACCGAGGGCCTAGCTGGCAAAGAAAAAGACTTACAGTGAGTTATATGTAAGGCTAAGGAAGGAGAAAGGGACTTGTATTGATTAGCCAGGCAGAGAGATTAAGCTGGAAAGGATGTGCAGCTGGTTGGGGAGATTAAGGAAAGAGATGGAAATGTAGTAATGAGTGACGAGTGTGGAAGGAGTACTCTGAGTAGCTGATAAGTAAAGAAAATGAGAGAGAGAAGGACGGATGAAGGACAGTTAGTGGATCAGGAAGTGTAGAGGATTAGCACGCAGGAAGTGAGAGCAGCTATGGAGAGGATGTGGAAGTGTGCAATGAGCACTGGTTAAGGTGACATACCTTTAGAGGTATGGAGATGTCTAGGTGAGAGAGCAGTGGACTTAACCAGATTGTTTAACACAATCTTGGAGAGTGACATGCCTGCAGAATGGAGAACAAGTGTTGGAGAAGAGGTGGAGTAACTACAGAGGGATAATGGTGATAAGCATGAAGCTATGGCAAAGAGCCGTTGAAGCTAGGTTAAGAAGAAAGGTGGAGATCAGTGAGCAGAATGGCTTGATACTGAGAAAGAGATCTACAGAGGCAATATTTGGTTGGAGAGAGCGGATGGAGAAGTATAGAGAAGGTCAGAAGGAGCTTCACTGTGTCTTTGTGGATCTACAGAATGCCTATGATAGGGTGCTGAGAGAGAAACTGTGGTACTATGGCTCCGAGCTCCTTCTTGTCTGCAGTGGTAAAGAACATGGTGACTGACGAGAGTCTCTGTGGATTATGATGGTTGGAAACGACATTGTGATCTGTAGGGAGAGCAAGAAGCATGTGGAAGCGAGCCTGGAGATGTGGAGGTATGCTCTGGAGAGAAGGGGAATAAAAATCAGCAGAAGCAAAACAAGATATATGTGTTCGAATAAGAGGGAGGCAGATGGAAAATTAAACATGCAAGGAGCAGTACCAGTGAAGGGAGATGGGCTTAAATACCTGGAGTCAACCATACAAAGCAAGAGATGTGAAGAAGAGAATGGAGACAGGATGAAGAGTGTGGAGACGAGTGTCCAGGGGGCAAGGATAGTAGTAAGTGTGTAAGGAAATGATGGTTTGGAGATGGTGGCGGTAACAAAAAGACAGGAGGTGGAGGTGGAGGTGGCACAGACGAAGACCATAAGGTTTTGATTGGCAGTGAGCAGAATGGACAAGATCAGAAAAGTTAGCAAAGTTGGAGAGGAAGGGCTGAGATGATTTGGACATGTGCAGAGGAGTAACGAAACATTTCTCCCACTGAAAACGCTACGACCAGATGAACAGAATCAACTTTTGGGGACAGTGGATATATTGGGCAAAGGATTTTAAAGATGGAGCTGCCGAGCAGGAGGAAAAGAAGAAGACGACAAAGAAGATTCATGCAGAGGCTTGGTGTGACAGAGGAGCATGCTAGGGATAGAGTGAGATGATCCTCGTGGCGACCCTAAAAGGGGGTAACTGAAAGAAGAAGACAGCAAATGCAGCCTTTATCCCTTTATCTCCTGCTTGAGTGCTGCTTAACCTTCCTCTGTTGGTTTCGAGGACATGTCTACAATCATCAGTTAAGTTGTGTTTCCTCCAAGGTAGAAGTCAAAAATCCATGTTAGTGATTTCAGTTAGCAGAAGTGAGACTTAGCAGACAGCAAAGTGATGCTTGTCAGGGTGGCCAGCCCCATAACTCCAGTGTCCAGACTACTCTACAAATCCTCTGGCTCTGCTCTGTGGATATATAGAAATTCAGTGATGTTTTCAAACTTTACTGATTAAAAACTTCAGAAACAGTGTCTGTTCATAATTTTTATGGACAGGATTTCTAGGCGCAGCCAAGTGGCGGAGGGCTTTCGCTTTGGTGGCCTCAGAATCTCATCTCTGATTTTTGCGGATGATGTGGTTCTGTTGGCTTCATCGGGTGAGGGCCTCCAGCTCGCACTGGAGCGGTTCGCAGCCGAGTGTAACGCAGCGGGAATGAGGATCAGCACCTCCAAATCTGAGGCCATGGTTCTCAGCCGGAAAAGGGTGGAGTGCCCACTCCGGGTCGGGGATGAGTTCCTGCCCCAAGTGGAGGAGTTCAAGTATCTCGGGGTCTTGTTCGCGAGTGATGGGAGAAGGGAGCTGGAGATCGACAGACGGATTGGGGCTGCGGCTGCAGTAATGCGGACGCTGCACCGGTCAGTCGTGGTGAAGAGGGAGCTGAGTGTAAAAGCGAAGCTCTCAATTTACCGGTCGATCTACGTCCCTACCCTCACCTATGGCCACGAGCTGTGGGTAGTGACCGAAAGAACGAGATCGCGGATACAAGCGGCGGAAATGAGCTTCCTCCGAAGGGTGGCTGGCCTCTCCCTTAGAGATAGGGTGAGAAGTTCGGCCATCCGGGAGGGGCTTAGAGTAGAGCAGCTGCTGCTCCACATCGAAAGGAGCCAGCTGAGGTGGTTCGGGCATCTGGCAAGGATGCCCCCTGGGCGCCTCCTGGGCGAGGTGTTCCAGGCATGTCCCACCGGGAGGAGGCCCCGGGGCAGACCCAGGACACGCTGGAGAGATTATATCTCTCGGCTGGCCTGGGAACGCCTTGGTATTCCCCCGGACAAGCTGGAGGAGGTGGCTGGGGAGAGGGAGGTCTGGACCTCTTTGCTTAGGCTGCTACCCCCGCGACCCGACCTCGGATAAGCGGATGAAGATGGATGGATGGAGAAACAGTGTCACAAACAGTCTATGTGTCAACATGGATGAGTTTTATATGTGCATGTTAAGCTGCTGACAGCAGTGCAGAAGTGAGGCATTTGATATTAGGTTATTTTTCTCCTTCCTCCTTGAGGCAGAATCAGCAGGAAGCCAGAAGAGCAAACAGAATGATGGAGCACTGAGTCAGACCGAATTTATTATCGTCTCGCTCCAAATATGTTCATGCCTCAGTGTGGGTTAAAATACCATTTTTAAATGTCAACCTTTGCTGGAGAGCTGACGTAAAAGTGAATCATCAGTGACTCTGATAATTGAATACCTTTACCAGTTGTTATTAAAAGATCAATGTTCTTTCTCTTTTTCCCCATTAAAAAACCTTTAAAAGGCTTTAGAAAAATTATATATATCTATAATTGCTTCACTTCATTTCATTCATTATTCCACAAAATAATCAACATATTGACTGAAAAACTGTGGCTCGACTCAGACGTCCTGACAGTTTGAAGCAGAGGAACTAATCAGATGGTCTTACCTTGGTTGAGCAGCAGAGCTGTGAAGAAAACAGAGAGGAGGGCGTGTGGACAAGAAAAGAAGAGCAGTAAGTACCAGCGAACATTCAGGAGGGAAAGCACAATCAAAACAAAACTCCACAATGAAAGCGCAAACCTGATCTCACAAGTGAGTCAATATTAACAGTTCAGTAAAACCTTTTTGTCTTTACAATAAAACTCGAGTGCCTTCAGCAACGATCTCTTTTCTTACTCGTCTGTCTTTCAGCTGTTAGTGTTTTGTCCAAGTTAATAACACAAAGGACAGTCTAAAAAATCATCTGAAGTTTAAAGGAAATGTCCCGTCTCCACGTTACACAGAGAAAAGCAGGGTTTGTGTGTCGATGGATGAAAGATGAATGGCTGTCTCCCTGAAGACGTGTGTCTCTGTGTTCCTAAGATAAGATGAAATTTTATCGATCCTTGTGAGGAGAGTGGGTCAAACAAAACAAACAAACAAGTAAAAGACAAGAAAAAAAGGAAAAGAAAAGGCAACAAAATATACACAAATAATGTGCCGCTGTCCACCTGTTCATCTGGGACAAATAAAGCCCAGCTGCAGTCTGAGCTGCTGTAAAGCCTCTTCTGTGAATTTACTGAAGAGGTGTAACTTAGTTTTGTGACTGAAAGGCTGAAAGCTTTGAAATGCAAGAAACATAACAGCTGTTTTAAAGTCATGGTCATCTTTGAGATTGTATTCAGACTCCTTCATTCATTCAGCTCAGTAGCTGCTATTTACCACGCTCCCTTCAGACCATGCACACTGTGCGCTCTGTCATTTCATCACACACCTCAACCTTAGACAGAAAGCAAACATTCAATTCTGTTTTTGTGCCTCCGCATTAGAGCACTTTTCTGCAGATTTCACAAGAAGAGTCCAGTTTGTGATCCTGGTGACAGGAAGACCAGGAGCCTGCTCGTCATTTTTGACAATCAGAGCGTTGTGAACCATGAATTCATCCCCCAGGGTGAGACTGTCAACATGAACATCCTGTGGCATTTGTGTGACAGCGTTCAGCAGAAAACCTGAGTGGCTCAGAGCGCGCTAAAATAAATAAATAAATAAATAATATATATATACACATTTTGCAATACCAACATGCAACACCTCCCAAAAATGGAACAAAATAGAAAAGGTTGATGGATGATCTCTTTGACACTCATAGAAGACTCTGCCTAAAAGAATATGTACAAGTGGACCTGGTGAGACTTCTAAGGAGAGATCTAAAAATAGCAGCTATGCTGAAAACTGTAAGAAGGTATGGATAGGAGTATGAAGACTCATCGCTGCGGAACAGACCCAACAATACAATCCTCTGTTTCAGGGTGCTGCATATTTTTTTTAAAAATCTGAATGTAAAAATGTATACATTTCATTTTTATACAAGCTTGTTTAAGGCAAACTCTTAAACAAGCTTCATGAAAGCAAAGCTGTGAAACTGCTTTAAATGTTTAAAGTCAGAAGAGAAATTCAGCGCCAGCTTTGTGAAAGCAAACATTTGCAGTACTTTGATACCTCTGCAGCTGCGTTTTAACGAGTATCAAACACGCCAAGGTTCAGTACTCAGCCCCGTCTATGATGTCTTGTAAATACAAAGCAAACATTTCTACACTGAATAACCGTCAACTAGCGCTTCTTTCAAATGTCACGGTTAAAAAAACAATTCTAGAAAGAAAGTTGAGTCTCAAAACACATGACTCACTCTCAAACTTGTGCATCACGGAGCAACTAATGAGACAAAATTTAGACGTAAATATTATTTGCATATAAAAAGACCCTCTGATAATACGAGTCTGTGTATGTGGAGCATATTCTCTTTGAATTTCATTTATACTTCTCACTTTGTAACCGACAGTCGAGCAGGGAGATGACGTCAGGGTTTGATGCATGTTTGCTGGTGACGGTCGATCAAAAGGTTAAAGTAAATCCATCAAACAAAGGGAAACATGTTACAGTCACGTACCTGAGATTCCTCTCTTCAGCCAGCGCGGCTCCTCCAGCACGATGAAGAAGTTTTCATGTTTTTCATATTCTTCATCATCAATTATCCTCACCTGGAGAGTCTGACTGCACACACGCACACACACACGCACACACACACGCACACACACACACACACACACACACACACACACACACACACACACACACACACACACACACACACACACACACACACACACACACAGAAAACTGTCAGTTGCAAACACATAATGAAGTTAAGCACTTCATCAATAGGTGATTTTAGCACTCGGGGCGCCTTCACCACAGGTCGTCCTTGTTAACGACGTGTTGCCATTGCAAATCTCAAGGCCTGTGAACTAACACACACACACACACACACACACACACACACTGCAGAGGTCTGCCCTGCTGTGTCTGTTCAGGACCTGCTGCTGTGTAAATCAGAGCAGGAGGAAACCAAATGCATAGAAAGGACACAAGTTCAATAAGTGAGTTAAAGGTGGGAGCTAGGGGAGAAAACTGCAAGACAGATTAAAAAGACTCACAGAGGGAAACTATTAGTAGTCAGAGAAATATAATGAATAAGGATTGATGTCATGGATGATTATGCAATTATCTATTTTTAAAATACCACATTTTAAATATCAAAGACTGCATTAATGTTAAATAATGGGACTCTCACTTGGAGTGTATCTGCTCACATAGCATATGGAGATTTCAGCTGAATATTTATGACTTCTCCAACATGGCTGACTGGTTTTCAGAATCCATACCAAGAGAAATTAACTTTGCACTGAGGAGAAAAGAAGCCAGACACTAAGAATAGGAAAGAATCAAGCAATAGTGAGGCAGAGCAGCTTTAACACCATAATGACAGTGAGCGTTTGAGCGGTATTAGAAATGATGGGTTTATTTTAGAAGAGAAGAAGTGAAGGTGAAGTGATGATGACAAGCCCCGTTAAGGTCTCTGAGGAGTGCCGGACTGAAATGTCACCACAGAGAGCGACCTACTGAAGGTAGAAGAAAATCTACTGTGACAACACAGAGGAAGAGATGGAGGAGGAGAGAATGAAACTGAAGGAAGACAGGACAGGTGTGGAAAAAAGAGCGAAAAGGAGAGGGAAGAAAGATGAACAATAAAAGTGTTTAGTGTAAGGAGATCGAGATATGAGCACGAATGGATGGAATACAAAAGTATGTATTCATTAAAGAAGGAGCCATGAAAAGACAACAAAGCACTCCCTCATTCACAAGGGGTCACCGCCACGTGTAGCGCCACATGTTTGATTTTGCAGCTTTTTACACCGGCTTCAAAAACCCCAAAGGGCTTTGTGAGAGTCAACAAGGGAGAAAAAAAGGAAAGGAACTGGGCCGATGCAATCAATAGTCAAGTCATCCTGACAGGTAAGCAATGTGGCGTGAAAATGACAGAATGAAGGAGCGAGGCGATTAGATGAGGTGATGATGAGCAGAAAGAACGATCATAAAACAGTCCAGCAGGAGAGCTACGGCGCCGCTGATGCCGCTGACAGCTCGAAACTTCCTTCCTATCTCACTCATAAATCAACGTGACTTATTAACTTCTTCTAAATATCCAACTGCTAACAGTTGTTAGTAGTTATTTACTCTTAGTTTTGATTTAGTAGTCATTAAATAGTCACATAATAATTACAGGTTAACAAATGTAGATTTACTAGCAAAATGCAGCTTTGACACTCATTCCCTCCAAGAATAACTAATAAAACCAGACCAGCTACTTCACCTGTAGGGGGCTACACTGACGTGTCTTCACCCCGATGTTGCTGTTACTTTATTTTACTGCAGATTGTCAACTTTGGCATTTTAACCTGATAGCTGCGAGTCTGCAGAAAGTCTTCTCACTTCCTAAAAATCATTTTACATAAAAAAATAGAGGGCACAAAAAACAAAACAAAAGCTAAAATAATTACTTTAATCTGCTTCCATTCAAAATGTCAAGCAGCTGATTGTTGAATGTGATGCTGTTATCATTCTCTGCCACCATTTATATGATGTGAAATTCAAATAGTAAATACCTTTAAGAAGTATTTTACTACCCAGTAAAACCTTTAAATATTGAAGTATACCTATTCACTCAACCCCTCCTCTTGACAACTTTGTCATCTTTGCTATTTATTTTATTTATTTTGGATTTCACACTCATAATGAGCAAATTTCTGTAAACAACAAAATAGGTATGGCCACTCTAATTTGCACGCAAGTCAAACAATGTTCAGACATTTCTTTATTAATTAAACAGACCCACTAAAGGTTCCTTTTCAGTAATTTTAAGCATGCAAGGATTTGTTCAAATTCTGTTTTCAGATGTGCAAACAGTGCCAGCTGTGGTCAAGCAGTAGCGGTCAGCACACGCTAGAGCCAGAGCAGTGTGGAGCTGCAAAAAAGCCTAAAAAGATGTGAAACACCAAGTCCTGATTTTAGCAGAAAGCTGGTGACATGTTATGTCCAAGAACAAAACTACACCCTTGAGAGCTGGAGTCCTCTCACAGAAATGAAACGACTGCAGAGGCATGAATAACTCTGGAGCTGCACTCAGAGAATTGTTGCCCACTCTAAGAACTCTATCTCTAGGAACTGCATCGTCGGTCATCATGCAACTAAATGTAGCCACACAGAAACTTAATAAGGTCACAAGGGGCACAAAAGGCACAAGGTGGGAGCTTTGAGTGAAAGCTGACGTGTTCAGACACGCTGACTGGGCCATGATTAACCAGTGGAACAGCAAACAGGAATAAATCCCTCCTCAGGAGCAGAGCCAAAGTGCTGCTTCACAGAAACATGCTGAGATCTCCCATCACCAGACCTGTCTCACTAAATTCACTGTCCTGCCAGTCAGTGAACCTGTTTACATCAATGTGGAGCTCCTGGAATCAATATCACACAAGCACGAGTCGTTCAAACTTGTCATAAGTGCTACACAGTTCTGAAAAGGAGAAAGGCTCCGGTGTCAAAAACGTTGCCTGTGAGGTTTGTTACTGTAGACAGTTAGAGCTGGATGTGAAGACGCATCCTATCGGAAGCTCAAAGCACCCCCGCCGGCTCTAAGGAGACCCCGACACGCTGCACAGTGCCATCTGGTGGTGCGACCCGGCTACACAAAAAAGAGCTGCTACACTTATAAATACAACCAAATATGACCTGACGTTACTCGTTAGGTTCTGGTCGATTCACTCCAACACTACCGTGCAGTATAATGTGACACCAACTCAGAAAAGATCCAGCATGAGCATGCTGAGCCTGCCGTCAGGTCAGCTGTGATGAATAATGGATAGGACTGTCGTCTGGCAGGCACAAAGGTGAACCAAAGACAGTGTGGGGAGCGCTGAAAGAGGTGAAGAGAGAATAATGGTAAGAGAAGACATGCGAATAAACAAGAGGAAAGAGGAGGAAGTGAAACAAGCAGAGGATGGAGACGAGCAAACATCACCACGAAGCACGCAGCAGCTGAAACCTCCCTCTGCCCATTCCTCTTACTGTTATAGAAAAGTTCAATAAAATATACATTTAGCTGGAGTGAAGAGGTGAAAGCATAAATTTCTAATCAATAACAACTTATTTTGAAAATCATACACTCTCTTTACTCCATCCCCTGAATTATTCACCATTCAAAGATCCTTATCCTCTTTTGTGGGCATAAACACGCAGAGCAGCAAAGTCTGAAAGTGAAAGATTATTTGTTTTAATGCATTTTCACTAATTAACTGCAGCAGGAGGCCAGAGGGCTCTGAAATACTCAGCATTTCAAATGAACAGGACATACATCACCCGACCCAATACCATCCTAAATTAATGTAATTGGTCAGATTTTAAATCTTCTTTCTTTCTTTGCTTGCTGACATTAGAAAGATCTTCGATTGGAACAAAAGCTTCAGGTCCCAGAATGAGCAGATTTATTTGATAAAATCTGCAGTAGCACATTTTATCAGCCCAGATACGATCTTTTCATACAATTGTTATTGTTGGTATGTTAGCACAGTTTCATACAGGTCTGTGTTCTTGTTGACATGCAATCCTACTGGACATATTTACAACTTTGTTTACAGATGTTTCTGTTCTTATTAACTACAGGAGGAAGAAAAAGAAGCAAAAAACAGAAAGAACTAGAAAGAAGCGATGTGCATCTATCCACATCAACTGTCACAGATTTGGCATGAAGTGTAATTGTTGTAATGCTTTCTTGTTAATGACACTGGTCTTTGAGTACCCAGTTTCACAGGTACTCATCAGTCACTGCTCTGAAATATTGCTAATCATTAACAGCATCAATACCGTCATCAGTGAGCGCTACTTGGTGTGTCTTCCTGTTTGTTCTGAAATCAATTTCCTTTGTTTTTGTGGGTCTCTAACTGAAGAAACCTACCCTGACACTAAATCATTGTAGTTTTAAAAAAATATGTTTCATCTTCAGCAAATTCCATTTTAAAACATTAGCTGAGGTTTACTCAGCCCTTTAGTTTGGAGATGAATTATCTGACTTTCAGGAGTAGGACCATCTGCCACCACCAGTCCCCATCGAGGCCTTCCCAAACCACAGCTCAATTCTTGATTAAGCCATTCGCCTTTATCGCCTAACAAATGCTGTCAAACCTAAAATGGGGACGTGGGCCCAGCTAGTGAAATAAAATGTAAATGAACCAGGACAGAGGTAACACAATATTCTGTGTCATGTTCTATAGAAACTTAGTTTCCCCCACATATTCTAATTCTGATTGGGATGTTAGTGGTACTGGGGATGGATGAGTGCATGCAGTCACATGGATAAAGGGACAAACAATGAACAATACAGCGTTTAAGATTTTCATCTGCATCTTCACTGACGAGGAGGTTGTGGAAAGTTAATGACAGCAGCCTAATCAGCTGCTGGTTTAGTATGTTTCTTGTAGCCTGGATGAACTTCTGGAGCTGGTAGTCCTTGTTCTGCTCTGCGTAGCGCCACATGAAGCGGTTCCTCACCTGCTTCTTGTGTGGTCAGAGCTGCCCAGCAGCAGGACAAGGACTATCATTACCAGCTGGAGTCCAAGATGATGACATTAGAGTCTAAAAGATGATGGTCGAAAGCTGCTGAGTGATACTGAAGATCAGCACAACAGTGTCCTGGTCAGAGTCTTGGTCACAAGATGGTTGATTTTCAAAATAAAAGCATAAGAGTTTCATTGGTCGTGTTAGATGTGTCCACTCAAATGTTCCTATACAAATTGTGAAAAGCTTTCTCCTCCCTATTACTTACATGTCAAGAACCAGAAGAAGAGCAGCATGAAGTCATCCTGACTCACCTGGTCTGGTCGTTGGTGAACTCCAGCTCTCCTCGGGCTTCCTCGAAGTCTTCTCCAGCCTTGGCGGTGCCTGACTCGGTGTGGTACGGCAGGATGACTGTGCCACGGGCGCCTGAGTTGCGCACCACCGTCAACTCCATTGTGCCCACGCTCTCACTCACCCGTACCATTCGTTCGCTAAACGTGAAGATGCCAGCATGGTCGTCATCCAGGATAGTCACCGTGGCCACCAGGGGCTCAACTAAGCGAGCTTTGGGTGCGGCACCCACTTCGTCGCTTTCAAACATCCCCTCTGCATCACCAACACGCAAATTCAACAGGCGGACAAAGAAGTGCTCGTCCTCTTCAAATATGTCATCATCGATTATGCCAATCTAGAAACAGAAGATACCAGAGAACAGCGTGAAACTTTAGCTCCAAACAGGTGAGTGTGAGTGAGATTCCTGTAGTGATTAATAATTCCTGGTCAGTTTTTGTGTTTTGGATTTTAGAGCAAAGCTCAGTGAGACCAGAAGACAGAATAAAAGAAACGTCTCTGTTCAGTGTCCTTCATGTGTAATTATTAATTATTCAAATTTGGACATAACATGTGATTCCTGAGCAGAATCCTATTAGTGAATAATAAGAAGCTTCGGAGAGCTCTGAGGTGGAATTATATGGTCAAAGAGTGAAAATGTCTCTATCCTAGAAGGCCACTTCAACAACAATCCCAGTATTATGTGGAATGCAGTCATGCTACATGCGCTGAATTTAAACTGAACCCTGCTCAGGATGCTTAAGCGCAGTGTTGTTGTATCTGGATGGCTGAGGTGAATATCAAGAGCCAGTCTTTTCCCTCAGCTGCTGGTTCTGTAGTCAACTCTATCCAATCATGTCACTGCACATTAGCAGGTGGCAGGTGGGGATTCCCAAATCAGATCAGGTCTGCGTGTCCAGCCAAGCCTGCCACAGATGGAAGTGTATAAATGTGACTTTTTCTTGCAAGAGAAATAAACACTTAAAAAATACGAAATATCCGGGAGACGTGGAGCTTCACTATAACCCATAAAGAGTTCTGTTTATATTATTATATCCCCTCTCTGTCAGCACTGCTTTTGCAAAAATGTAGATAAAAAAAATCCCTATTAAATTTGATTCATGCCACTGTTTAGACAAAATACAAAAAACTAGTGCTGTCAGCGTTAATTTCGCTAAAATCACGTTAACGCCATGACCGCATTAACGCGGCAAATCTCCGTTGGTGAGTTAACGCAGATCGCCCCTGTGCGTGGTGCTGTACGACGCTAACGTGTTAACGAGCTAACCGCACTAACGCGTTGGCGTCGTGCAGCCCCACGCGCGGGGCGATCTGCGTTAACTCACCAACGGAGATTTGCCGCGTTAATGCGGTCATGGCGTTAACCTGATTTTAATGAGACAGCACTAGTTCAAACGAATGCACATGAAGGCAAATACAGAAGTCACTGAAAAAATGATCATTTGCATTAATTTGTAAAGCTCATCACAAAGACACAGACACCTTTTAATTAGTGCTACTCTCCAAAGTCGAAGCACAGATTTCTTTGATGGACTCTTTCTCACAGCACGGCTTATTATTTGTTAGATCATTCTTCCGAAACTTATTTCAGAGCACTTATTAATTAATTAGCAATTAATAATCATGGAATCATGCTCTGTAGGTACACCTTTTATGTTTTTTTTGTTTTTTTAAATCTGTTGCTTTTATTTTTTACTCTAGTTACTCATGTTGTGTGTGGTTCTCCAGCTGCACCACAGCACACAGAAAGGCACTCCAGAGGGTCATCAATATGGCCGGTACACACCCAGGACACCGGGTGTTTAAGCTGCTGCCATCTGGCAGGAGGTTCAGGCTGCTGAGGTCCCGAACAAACAGACTCAAGGACAGTTTTACAACAGGGCAATAGCCCTGATCAATGCAAATAGCTGACCTGACTGACTACCTCCCTGGACTTTTTTTGGGGGGGGTTAACAATGGTAAAAACAGTACTAATAATAATATTTATATTTATAACAAGGTGCAACAATAATTAATGTGCAATAATAACAGTGTGCAATACAAATACACTTGTTCTTTTTTATTACTAAGTTATTATACTGTGTTGTGTTGTTTGTGTTGCGTTGCGATGTGTCGTATCGTGTCGTGTTGTGTTATATGTAGTGCCGACGTAGGACAGTTTTCCAATTTCATTGTACTACTGTACTATGTATGACTGTGCAATGACAATAAAGAGTTATCTTATCTTTTATTGCACTCTGTCATACGGCATCACTCATGATTTGTTGTTTTTACATCCCATAGTGCACACAATAAGGAGACAAGGGAGAGAGAGAGAGAGTCACGTCTGATGACAATTTAGTGCCTGAAGAAAGAGTTACTTCAACAAGCTCCAACAAAGCCCAGTACTTTTCAAATTATGCATTTCTTCCTGCTAAAGCTGGAAACTACAAAGGTGTTTCACCACTTGAAGCAAAAACACACCACTGAGTAGAACGAGGAGGAGATACAAGCAGCAAAAGTAAAAAGCAGTTTAAGTAACTTAAGTAACTTTAAGTAACTCCTGCATAGGTAGAAAGTATCTTTCAATTGTATTATGTGACAGTACTGTGCAGTGTTGTATAGTTCATTAGAAAATAAGGATGTATAATTCATTTACTGATGCCTGGAAGCGTCAATAAAATATCAGCAATGTTGACACCGTCAATTTTTTTGAAATATTGTATAAATTTTAGGATCTATTGCCCAACCAGCAAAGTCCGTTTGTTTCTATAACCCATTAAAACACAATAAATGTTGGCCAACGTACTGTACAACCAGTAAAACCATCAAGCAGTGGGGGAAAATGGCACTGTGAATTAAAGCTAGTCTGAAAGTGAAGAGGTCTGTGAGAAGAGGTGAAGTTAGTGAGTTAATTGACCTAATCTGACGTGGGAGGCTATTGCAGAGTTCTGGAACATTAACTGAGAACAACCATTCGGCTGTAAGAGCCAACTGGGAATTAAGAATAGCTGAAAACTGCTGATCAATGGACCCGAGAGAGAAGCATGGATCTGATAGGTAACGTGGATTAAACCCCTGCAAGTACTTGTATGAGAAATAATGTTTTTATAATTGATCCTATACATCACCGTCATACATCAGCAAATTCAACTATTTAAGAATAGTTGAAATATGATCATGCTATTAGTTTTGCTCAGTCCAAAATATAACAAACTGCAGAATTATGTTTTTAAGCTCATTAATAGAAAGAAATGGTTGAAATTTACTTAAAAGTCTAAATTTAAGACAAGAATCAAAAACATACAAATCAAATTCTTTACCTGAGGTTTGAAACATGATGTCAGAGACCCAAGAACCATGTTGGGGTCTTCTCTGTTTTCTTTATATTATTGTAGGGTCTTTACTTCACAATATAAAGCACCATCAGGCAACTATTGTGGTTTTTTTGATGCTATATAAATAAAACTGAATTGCATTAAAGTAATAAGAATTCAATTAGTCTGATTTTAAATGGATTTCTCTTTGTTGTGACAGTTGTTTTTATACTGTTCCCTCATAGCGCCAAGAGTACAACCAGTACACTTTTTATGTGCTGACAAATTACATAATAAACTGTAAATCTGTAGAGCGTGGACTTACAAAAACATTGTTTTTAAGGCATTTGTTAAACTAGTCTTCAACTTAAATAATCCTTTCATGTTGTTTTTAGACAGTTTGGACAAAATTAAATATCTGAAGACATCAGCTTCAGGGAGTTTTACACACTGATTCATTAAATGAATGTCAGAATCAGAATACCTTATTAATCCCAAAGGAAATTATGGGTTACAGCAGGCTGCATGCTGGTTGGCGCATGCGCACAAAGAAAGGACCCCTTCCGACCATATTTAGGCCCATCGGCTGAACAAGACAACAAAATATGAGAAATCATATCAATGTGTATTTGTATTGTTACAGTCAAATTTTTTTTTATTTTTTAAATCTTGGTTTTGTATTTTCAATCTATTTCAGTTTCAGTGAGTTTCCTTTGTGAGTTCATGTTAAGTTTTTTGGTTGTTTAACTCTAAAATGATAAAAGTAGCAAAACCTCATCAGGCTGGCTCTGATAACAATGTAATCAGTCTGTCAAAGACTAAAACTAACACATTTTTATCTGATTTTAGTTAGTTTAGAGAACAAACAATATATTTTTTTAAAGATTTATTTGGGCTTTTATTATTTTCATTACAGAACAGCAGAGCAGACAGGAAACAAGGATGGAGAGCGGGTGAATGGTCTGGGGTGGAGTTAAACTCTGCTCTATAGCTCTCAGCACTCTTACAATATTATTTGATGTTTTAGTTTTGGTTTAGATTTAGTTTCCTAGAATAACCATCGCTTATAGCACAGGCATTGCTGTCTCTTGTCTTGAGTGTTTCCTGTGCTAACTGCTAAACACCAGAAAACCAAAGTTCTTGAAAATCGTATTTATTACCAACAAAAGTGCAAAGAAATGATGACGATCATTATCATTAAACTACAACTCAGTCACCAATGAAAGACTACCCAGAGTGTTTATTGGATTCAGACAACAGTAACTCTCCTGTGTCGTTTCTAATACAAAGCTGTGTTTTATAATTGAATGTCTCATCTCTGTTACTAATGGGGCTGATTTGCCTACTTCAGATACAGCACAGACCTTCATTCAATCAGCAAACATGAAGTGACAGTTAATTTAATCTTCATTATGCTGAAGAAGGAAACTTTGTGCGTGGCTCTGTGTGAGGCCACAAGCATAGCGCCTGGTCTGCAAATAATGCAGATTAAAAATTGATCAAATGAAATTTTGTGCCTTAAGTAATCAGACAAAGTAATGATCAGCTGCATTTATTTGACTGGAATAAACTGTGCTGAGAAGAGGAGACACGTTTTCAGAACTGATAATTGTCTCCTTTTTTTTTGACACAACAATTATGACTCTTCATTACAACAAAGAGTGCTGACAATGAGACCTGTTATTGGCTCTGTCAGATTGATCTCTCTCGTATAGTCAGAGCCTGTGAAGGCTGCGGTGACCGTCACACAGTGGAACTAATGCGACAGAGAAAGTGGAGCTCTGGCAGAGAGCTGAAGTATTCAAGTTTAATTGGTTTCCCTGCTGCTCGTTTCTAACTGGAACGGCGTTCGATGAAATCGGTGCTGGTGAAAAGGATGACACCGACCTTTGTAATATAGTTACTCCACATCTGGCCATCCGCTCACTCGTGGTGGAGGGGCCAATTTATGCTGCCAGTTTTTCAGATGTCCACACTTCTTCTTATTTAATGTGGCTCTTTAGGCTATTGTACCACCCCTCCACTCATCCCCACTTCCTTCTGATCTCCCATCACATTTTGAATCCAAGCACGGATTAGCCGGCTTACCATGTCTCCTTTTAATGCAGACAGCATGCAGCACTTTAGAGATAATATTCTTGGTTTCACATTAAGAAAAACATCTTTATTGTGTTATTTGATCCCAAATTCAAAGGTTTTGATATTTGTAGTAAAAGATGGGGAACTCTGAAGCACTTCACTTCACTGATCATCGAAAACTAAACTAAAAACAGTTTTTTACAGTAATAGTGCTGAATTATTGGAAGCAGCAGGCAGTTTTTGAAGGTTGAGAAGGAGGCAGTACAAACACGTTCACTTAATCACAAAGGTACTGGAATCTTAAAATAAAACGCAGATCTTTAATGAAAAAGTAATGAGTTAGAAAAACACAAAAACCAAGCTTGAAAAAGGGTTTCATCTCTAAATGTGAGTAAAAGCAAGAAGCAGCAAGCTCTGTAAGTTATTTTGAGCCCTTGATTAAATGAACAGGAAGAGACTGACTGACATTTTAATTTCAGTGGTTACCAAGATACAGAAACTGTGTCTGACATCTGCTTGTCGACTTTTCTTCAGAAGTTTTAAAGGTTGGGCTGAAAATGGTGATCCAGCGTAGAAGCACCAAAATCCCACAGTTCCTCCTCACTTAAGTGTGACGTTTTTTTACACATAACTCAAACATCTGGATTTTTTAAAGCTTTAGGTTAGGGGAACATGAGTGCTCAGACCGACACAGGCAGTATCAGCTCATTACTGCCTGCTTGGCTTCACTTCCACTAATTTGAGGGGCTGAATTGGACGTCTCCATCGTGTTTGTGCTCTTTGTGCATCGGTGAAATGTGCTAACAAATAATATGCCGTGCAGTGAGAAAGAGTCAATCAGAGAAGTCTCTGTATCGGGTTCTGAGAGTCAAAGTATTTTATTTAGATTAGCACTAATTAAAAGGCATCTGTGTCGTTGTGACGGAGCTTTAAAATGTCCAGAAGCAGCTTGTTAAACAAACTTGCTAGTCTTAGTTAATAGATAACTTAGCAGTGAACCAACACGACTGGTTTACGTGAGAGGTGAGTGATAACTGCCATCTTTGGGATTACAGAATTGCCACAGGTTTCAATATCATCTCTCTTTTTTCTAATACTTTAATTTTATGTTTATAATTTCAGCTGCTCATAGATTCTCAGCAAACCCGTGACTTTCTGCTTTACATTCATGTTAGTGGGAACAAACATAACCCACATGTAGAAGCAGCAGAATGAGCAGTAGTAGTCTGACTGGAAGCAACAGTATTTTTCCCTCCCAGCCGCGAACCCGGGCTTCTGTTTTTCCAGAGCCTTTGTCTGTCTCTCCTCCCGGGACTCTCATTATGTATCTCCTCATCCCTCTCCCACCTCTTTCTCCTCACTTTGATCTCCTTGGAAATCTTCCCAGATTTCACAGTCACTGTGGAGGAAGCCCGCAGAGTGTTTGTGCATTTTTATAAAGTAAAACTCTCAGTCCAGAGCTCCTCCTGCACCAAAGCTGGTGACTTACCGTGTGTAGGTCCTAATTAGAAAATCAGCTGAATTAGAAATCTCTTCACCAACTTGGAGCTCAAAGCTTTTGGGATGAACTGACAGGTATATTTCATAATTCATATAATCAGCTATACAGTTTCCCACAGGGATCATTAAAGATTCAACTTGTCTCCAAAAAACCCTTCAATAAATCTTTAACACTGAAGTTCCCTTATTGTCAAACTCATCTTCCATCTGCCACGATGAAGGAAGAGAGTACTCTTAAACTGTGTCTGTGTCGTGGTCACTGCTGTGTCCTCACTTCTCTTTTTGTTCCTCCTTTGTGCTTCTAACACTTTTCACTGTTTCTTCTGTGCATCAGTGTCTGAGCCTCCCTCTGTCTGTGTTCACTCGCTCTTTTTACTTCCTGTTTTATTATGAAGTTTTTGCTTTGTCCCTTTCAGAGTTTAAGATTTATAAGACTGCTTCCACGTTCAAGCTTCAGCCGTGTCTTGTTTCCCTGTACTTGTATTTCTGCCTCTAAGAAAGCAAAACTCTTGAGCGTCTTGGATCCAAATGGCCAACATTAACATACCAAAACCTGTACAGGGAGAACATGCAAACTCCACATGGAAATGCTCAGCCTGACTTCAAACCCAGCGACACTAATGCTGCGAGCAACACTGATAACCGCTGAAAGGCCTGCTACAGTTTCTGCATCCATAAGATCCATGCCAGGGTCAGCTGGGGTCTGAGTGATGTAACTTTTAACATCAGATGGTGAGGACAAGACTCCCTGTAGTATTTTGTGATTGTGTAAACTGGCCTGAGCTTATATAAAAGGAACAGCTACTCATCCGTACTGTCAGCAGCTGTCCATGTCCCCAACAAAGTATAAGCCCCACCTGAGTCACTGTTGTTGTGTTCCTGTGATTTTTTGTATACGGTTAACCTTGTGTTTCTTTGTTTTTAATAAAAGGATGTTTTTTAAATGGCAGGTTATCTTCTCTTCGCAGTCTTCCCTGAACTCACCTTGATCTCTTTGCAAGTCTCTCCAGGCTTGAACACCAGCGTTCCTTCGGTGTATTCGTAATCTGATCCAGCGTTGGCTGAACCATCTTCTGTTCTGTAGTCCACATAGAAAGTATTCTCTCCCAGACCACCTAAACAACAGAAATAAAACACAGTTACACTGGATATATTACACAATATTATTTCTGTGAGCTGTATCTATCTGTACTGTGATGTTCACACTCTTACAAAACCTATATAGGAAGATAAGCTGACTCTCAGTTACTTTTGCATTTATGTTGCTCGTGTTTTTCACCAGCAGATTTTGTTTTCCTTATGATTTCAGAACTGAAGCCAAAGCGCTTTGAGCCAACTGTTGTTGAGATTTGGAGCGATATAAATAAATAAATACATATGAATAAAACTGAACTGAATTTAACTGAAATACATTTATTCAACATATCTAAAGAGGGACTCTATTTTAAATTTGGATGAATTTAGACTTCCTTTTACATGCTAGTGATTGTCTTGGAGTGTCTAAATCTATTCATGACTAAAACTGGAGGTGGAAACCAGACCTTTGTACATAAGGTGCACAAAGGTCTAATGAGTGAGATTTTTAAAAAGGAAACATGAACAAGCTCGCAACAAGAAAAGAAACGATAAAGATAGAAGGAACATTTTGTTCTTTTTAATATTAGCAGATCTGGGAATTGAAATGCAGATAAATTAAAAGTGCAACAAGCTCCAGCTCGCACTGGAGCGGTTCGCAGCCGAGTGTGAAGCAGCGGGAATGAGGATCAGCACCTCCAAATCTGAGGCCATGGTTCTCAGCCGGAAAAGGGTGGAGTGCCCACTCCGGGTCGGGGATGAGTTCCTGCCCCAAGTGGAGGAGTTCAAGTATCTCGGGGTCTTGTTCGCGAGTGATGGGAGAAGGGAGCCGGAGATCGACAGACGGATTGGGGCTGCAGCTGCAGTAATGCGGACGCTGCACCGGTCCGTCGTGGTGAAGAGGGAGCTGAGTGTAAAAGCGAAGCTCTCAATTTACCGGTCGATCTACGTCCCTACCCTCACCTATGGCCACGAGCTGTGGGTAGTGACCGAAAGAACGAGATCGCGGATACAAGCGGCAGAAATGAGCTCCCTCCGAAGGGTGGCTGGCCTCTCCCTTAGAGATAGGGTGAGAAGTTCGGCCATCCGGGAGGGGCTCAGAGTAGAGCAGCTGCTGCTCCACATCGAAAGGAGCCAGCTGAGGTGGTTCGGGCATCTGACAAGGATGCCCCCTGGGCGCCTCCTGGGTGAGGTGTTCCAGGCATGTCCCACCGGGAGGAGGCCCCGGGGCAGACCCAGGACACGCTGGAGAGATTATATCTCTCGGCTGGCCTGGGAACGCCTTGGTGTTCCCCCGGATAAGCTGGAGGAGGTGGCTGGGGAGAGGGAGGTCTGGGCTTCTTTGCTTAGGCTGCTGCCCCCGCGACCCGGCCTCGGATAAAGCGGATGAAAATGGATGGATGGATGGAAACATGAACAAACGAATTTAAGAATTTGAAGGAAATAGTCATGAATCTACAGGCTGAAATGTATGCATCTGGATTTTTGACACCAGAATATGTGTGTGTGTGTGTGTGTGTGTGTGTGTGTGTGTGTGTGTGTGTGTGTGTGTGGGAGGGGGGAATCCTATTCAGCTGTATTATGTATAGCTGTCCATCAATCAGTGCCTCCCATCTAGGTGCCTTAGAATCAGGCATATATATCAGAAACTCTGACATACTTAATAAAGCTGTGTGAAAAAATTGCTTTCGTACTGTGACCACATGGATGGGTCAAAATGTGGTAGCTGGTCATTGACAATTACTCCAAAAACCCCCAAAAACCTTTTCTTGGGATTCCTCAAAACAAGCTACGTGAATTTTTTTCAAACTGCTGTGTTAAAAAAAGAAATTCTGTTTAAGCACGGGTTACTGCAGGCTCTCTTTAAAGTGCTTCTTCCATAAGTACTTTTACAAGTAATTAAATGTCTTCCTTTAGGTTCAGTGGAGGAAACTGACCACAGGTCGGATCAAAGACAGAAAAAGTTTAGATCAAATGTTGCACTGATTTGTAGAACAGAAAGATTTTATGCTTTATTACCACAGCAGCTCTCAGCCTCTTGTCTTATTTATGTGGACTCATTATAAGCTTATGCGTAATTCATTTCGCTACCTTGACACGCCACAGCCAGCATCAGGACGCCGCAGTTCTCCATGCACTGACTGTGAGGACTCTCAAATGAGATGCGGCTGCACACAGCCATGTCGTCGTCTTCTGGGGCCTCCTCGTCAGCTACGGCTGTGCGCCGCGCGTGGTCCGCTGCATGCTTCTTCAGGACGTTTCCAGCTCCGATCATCATACGAGTTGCCTTCAGGGAGAGGAAGAGGAGGATGAGGGGTTAAAGGAAACAAAGAGTACAGAATCATTTTTAGAAGCCCTTGAACTACTTTATGAGTTCCCACAGTTCTGGACAACCTTGTGTGTTTACCTCAGGGCCTAAGAGAGAGAGACAGTGTGTGTGTGTGTGTGTGTGTGTGTGTGTGTGTGTGTGTGTGTGTGTGTGTGTGTGTGTTACCTGAATGCGGTAAAAAGCTCGGCTCTTCTGCTGGTGCAGCAAGGCGTAGTAGTTGGCCAGCTCCACCAGCTGGTCCAGCTCTTTATCAGGATATTTCTGCTTCAACTCCTTCAAGATACGAATCACCTGGAGGAAAGATGAGAGGACACAAATATGCTTAAGATGGAATCGACACGACAGAAGAGCGAGACATTCTCATCACGTACAGTTTCTGCAGACACGTTTCCACTCACGTAAAAGAAAAGAATTTCTCACTGCCTCCAAGACTAAATATTTTATATGTTTTCAGGCTTTTTTTAAAATTACACGTCTCAGATATATGCACAGCTTTTTTAGGACTTTGATTGGATCAATGCAACACTTTGATACTTTTCTTTTTCAGCCATTCTGTTGCAGGTTTGCTGCTGTGACAGATGGTTGTGACTCCAGAGTACTTTGCTATGCAGAGGAGTTTCTGGTCGACTCCGGGTCCTGTGGCTGCCCAAATCATCACTCCTCCACCCCGTGTAATAGTTGGTATGCAACTGGTATGAACTGCTGTGCATCGTGACCAAACATTGGTCTCGTCGGTTTGAAGGACATCGTTCCAGAAATTTTGGGCTTTGCTCAGACATAATTTTGCAAACTTAAGCTGTTCTGTCTTTTTTAGAATTCCTGGGAAGACTGAGGAATTGTGTTAACACACAACTAATGCTCCAGACCAGCAAACTGTCAAAACTTCTGCTTTCACAGAGCTCATCACACTTGTTGAAGATCAACTAATCAAGTGCAGTTTGTTAGCAGTGTCTGGCTGCTCTTTACTCTCTCTCCCCCCCCCCTTTGGATACAGTACAGGTACATTTAGTTTTTTACAAGATTGCATCAAGTCTTAGAGATATAAAATACAAAAAAGGCTAACGCAGAAATGTCTTATATACTTTTTCAGTTTCATAATAACAGAATCACTGCATCTTTTCTCTAAAAGCTCGAGCTATCAAAAGGATGACATTTTGAAATAATAACCTCCAACAACTTTCAAGCATTAAAAGAGAAAATGTCATCAGTTAAAGGAATAAATTACCCCTTTGCTGTCCAAAGACAGTCACACAAAGAGGCCTGATGTCTAATTACATTTGATCACATGAGTTGGTGCAGAAAACATCCCACATTTGTGCTACTTGAAATGGTCAGCAAAAAAAAATCAAAACTAAACAAAACTAACATAACGCCTTTTCTCCATAACGATATCCAGTCAGGTGATGTTTCACTTCCACCAGATACAATATGATTTACAGTTTTAATCAGCAGTTATTATCCTGCTTCCTACTAATCGCCTTCACAATATAACCACATACTGTATTAGAATAGGTGAAGCTGATCTGGTGTTAGGATATATTTTTGCATGTCACTTTGAAAAAGATATAACATAACCCACTCTCAGTCTGTACCAGGTACTCTGCAGATTTACAAATAGACCATTAAGCAAACACAAATATGGGAATACTTAAACCATTTCTTTCATTTTCTCTACACAACATGAAACACAGGTTGTTTCTGGCATTTTAACAGGAGCTGTGAACCTGCTCTTAAAATATGTAAAAATGTGCAGGTCTGACTCCCCTGATGGGCTGTTCTTTGTCTTGTCTTGTTTACAAGGACTGAAAGAGACAAAAACATTGATGCTGAGTATGGGAAATAAGTCTGTCTGTCCAACAGCAGTTTATTAGACAAACAAGACTAAGTCAGTCTTGCAGATTTTGATAAGCACCTTTGGCCTGTGCTACCGGGTGTAGAGAGAGGATCCAAATGCCTATCAGGAATCTCAAAGAGATGCAAAGAGGAACTTTATTTGTTTTATAAATAAAAAAGAGAACAAAATGCTGTGCACAACACCAGCGAGAGAACCTGGAAGGAAGTAATGAAACTGAGTCACAAAAAACAGATAACAAAAAACCTTGTAGACAAACAAGAGTGAACAGCGTGTTTCCTTGTTAATGTGTTATTTTTTCAGTTATGGATGTATTTGCAAGACTCGGTGTGGCGTGATTAACTTTTAGAATTTCTTTGGATCTGAATCCAGAACTTTTGTGAAGGATTCTTTGTAATGTGGATTAAAATAGTCCTGCTGGATCCAGGGACTCGGGCCATATGTGGTCTGCTTTGGTCTATCTTCCCTCTAAGAGCGACTATTAGCAAAAAAAGAAATAACCCTTTTCAGTGTAACCTGTATGTGCTGCATATGCATGGAGCCAGGTTTCACAGTAAGTGATAGCTCAGTATCAATAAAGGAGTGAGTGGTCCTGAAGGGGTCACCTCAGTGAGAGGAAGTGAAGCCCACAGCCTGAGGCTGCGTTCTGCCTCTGCACACATTTACATCAAGTTTCTGCCCACACAGCGAACTCAAATAGCAAAACTGCAGGGGTGGAGTGCACTCGACACTTTCAGCTGGCTTTCAGGGTGCGAACCTACCTAAAAGGCCATTTAGCACAATATTATCAGCAGAATAACGTTTAACCCTCAACTTTAAGGCTACTTTTTCTCTGGTACTAAATACAGTACTGTACATTTCGGTACAGCTTGTGATATCTGAGCATGAACCGCACATACAGCAAAATTAGGAGTAAAAAAGCAAAATGTAATTACATTTCTAAAACTCCAATTATGTAAGTATGGGCAGCGTCTTCAAACTTGTCACCCAAGTCCAAGGTAAACTGTGAAAATACCTGTGAAAGGCAACTTTAAAAAAGTCCACTTTGGAGCATATTTTAGCTTAAAATATCAGAATGATATTTTAAAGCCTGGTTTAATTGGGCCAGAAAAATGATGTGGATGAGGACCTGTTTGTCTCTCAGTTCTTACTGTCTGTCTAGCTTTTATTTTAATAAAGTTTCTTCCCAAGAGTCTCATTTCTCTGCTTTTCTCATTTTCCATCCTCAGTTCTAAATCAAGTAAATTATATTTATAGAGCCAAGTATTACAAGGTCTCCTCAGGGGGTTTTATGATTTGTACTGTTGATAGATTTTCAGTTCAGATAAGAAAAAAGTTCGTTCTACTCCTCAAAAGTAAGAGCCGTTAATCTTTTCACAGCAGATGTAAATGGGCTTATTGTCATCTGCATTCCAGACAGGTGCAAAGCAGCGATTGTTAACAAAATGAGATTATAAAGTGCAGAACAAAGCATGCATGCTTCACTCGAGGAAATTTAAACTGGAGACACATTTATCTGCATTTGAGGCGCTTAACAAATTTATCAGACGAGATTTCATAAAAACAAGAAAACACAAGTACTTTAGAAATCTGTTAAAAACTTGTTCAAAAAACTAAAAGTTATGTTTTTATTTATGAGGCAAAATAACAAACTTTTTACATGTGTTCTGAGCCAGAAGCCAGAAAATAATGAAGCACATATTCAAATACTTAAATTAAATCTTCTGTTCTGCTTTTTTGTAACACAGTACATTTGTAAATTTAATAATTATATTTTAGTATGAAAAATATAATTTAGACTAAGGAGCGTGGGCCTGTGGCAGAAACCTTACACTGGGTGGTGTTTGAAATGTACTGAGCACTCTATCTTTCTGTCTCCTGCTGAGAAATAATCCATTATTTTTCGCAATTCTGTCGTCTTGATGCACGCTCCATCATCCAGGTAAGTAAATCTCCAAAAGTTGATTGTGTTCATCTGGACGTAGCGTTTTGTGGGAGAAACGTTTCGTCACTCATCCAGGTGACGTCTTCAGTCTCAGCTGACTACAGGTTTCAATCTTATAAACAGTAAATTTGCATAATGACTGAAACCAGCCCACTGAAGGAACAATGGGCTGGGAGGTCAGTTCTTTAATCACAGTTATGTAAATTCTCATGGTCATTGATCAACAACCACTGATCAATAACCATGAGTACCATTCACAGAGAGTTGGGGAATGGCTGCAATCACAGCATTGTAAGATGGTGACAGATGTACCCTTAGGCCCCCTCCTCGATTCAGAGATGGTCTTTCCCTTTTCACGTAAATGGCCTCCTTGACTCCGCCCTCAAACCAGCGTTCCTCCCTGTCCAGGATGTTACATCCTCATCATTGAAAGAGTGTCCACTGGCCTGTAGGTGTAAATAGACTGCAGAGTGCTGGCCTGACGAGGTGGCTCTTCTGTGTTGTGCCATCTGCTTCGCCAGAGGTTGTTTGGTTTCCCGATGTATAAATCCTGGCAATCCTCCTGCACTTAACAGTGTACACTATGTTACTCTGTTTGTGTCGGGGGACCCGATCCTTGGGGTGGACCAATTTTTGGCGCAGCATGTTTTGGGGTTTAAAAGCCGCAGAGACCCGGTGTTTAGAAAAAATGCGTCTCAACTGCTCCGATACTCCTGACACGTATGGGATCACTACAGGTTTTCGCTTGGGCAGCGGTTGTCCTTCTCTCCTGGATCGGCTGGAGCTTTCTTTAGGCGCCTTCCCAGCTTTGACAAAAGTCCAGCTGGGATAACCACATTTACTCAGGGCCTTCTTGATGTGCTGTTCTTCTGCCTCTCTGGCCGCTGTGTCAGTGGGGATGGTGTTCGCTCTGTGTTGTAGCGTCCTGATGACACCCAGTTTGTGCTCCAGTGGATGATGAGAGTCAAACCTTAGATACTGATCCGTATGTGTAGGTTTACGGTACACGTCAGCTTTTAGATGTCCCCCATTCCTGATGGAAATCTCACAGTCTAAGAAGGCTAACCTGCCACTTTTCATATCCTCCCTGGTGAATTTGATGTGTTGGTCCACCGAGTTTATGTGATCCGTGAATTGTGGTACATCCTGAGATTTGATTTTCACCCAGGTGTCATCCACATAGCTGAACCAATGGCTTGGTGGTGTTCCAGGGTAGGACAGCAAAGCCCTCTTTTCCACTTCTTCCATGTACAAATTGGCCACGATGGGTGAAACTGGGGAGCCCATGGCACACCCATGTTTCTGCCTGTAGAACTGACCCTTGTATGTGAAGTAGGTGGAATGAAGGCACAGTTCAAATACACTTGGTCGATGCTGAGAGTGGTCCTGTTGCTGAGGTTGGTGTCATCCTGTAATCTCTTACGAACTACCTCCAACGCTTCTGTGACTGGGATGCAAGTGAAGAAAGATGTAACGTCGTACGAGACCATGGTTTCATCTGCCTCCATAATGACATCTCTCACCTTCTCAACAAAATCCAGGGTGTTCTGGATGTGGTGTTCAGAGCTGCCCACCAGCGGGTTCAGGATGGAAGCCAGAAACTTGGAGATGTTATAGGTGACAGAGTTGATCATACAGACAATCGGTCTTAAAGGTGCACCCTGTTTATGTATTTTCAGTAAACCATACAGACTTGGTGTAGATTCCCCTGGGTATAGCTTCACTGGGCTGGTTTCAGTCATTATGCAAATGTACTGTTTATAGGTTTGGGGAAACCTGCAGTCAGCTGAGACTGAAGAAGTCACCTGGATGAGTGACGAAACGTTTCTCCCACAAAAACGCTACGTCCAGATGAACACAATCAGCTTCTGGAGAACTACAATTCGGTGCTAAAAAAGCAGAAAGTGCAAGTTTAGATTTTTCACCAACATAAAAATGTGGGAAATCCAATTATGAAATGAATATATGGTAAGCCACATATGCAATGACCCCAGAGTCCAAATGGATTTACATTCTAAAGATTACATGAAAATGAAACACTTGTTTCTTCATTTCCTCACTTTGAACACAGATTTTCCACACATAGCACTAAGATGTTCTGCACAAACCAGAAATGCATCTGAGGAATAGAAAGAAAAACTTTGTTTGCATAGTGACAGTGTTAAAATGTGCAGTAACAAGTGCTCCATAGGTTTTTGTTGTTTTCCTGTCTGTCTTCAGAAATATTTTTATTTATGTTTTGACTCTCTGGTTTGCTGATCTGATGGTTGAAGTTCACCTGTTTTATAGGAAGACCTTTCACATAGTTTTATGTAACACATCATCTGGCGTGTAACTGAATCTCTCAAACTAACAGTCTAATGTTTGAGTCTGATGTTGTGCTTGTGATCAGATGCTCTCCTATGCTGCTCTCTGAAGATTCTTCCCGTCTCTGTCTCACCTCCTTGCGGCTCTCATCCAGCTCCTTGCTGCTTTCCACATTGACTGTAGCGCTGGTGGAGTGGGGCAGATTGGCTCCCCCTCCTGTTCCCACGGCTCCTGCTGCCGCTCCAATGTTGTTGGCTGTGGCGCCTGTGGTCCCGTCCTGAGTGCCGCCCCCACAGTTTTCAGCAGGAACCACAGTGCCCCCTCGCGCTGGGAACTTGCCATCTATGATCATCTCCATGCCGCCTTTGTTGGGTGTCAAATCCCCTTCAGTCTCGACAACGATGCCATGGCGCTTGTCGGCTCGGTAACGCTTGCCCATGTATTTGTAGAAGAGCAGGCGCCGATCAGCGATCCAAGCCAGGATGACGCAGACAGGGAAGAAGAGCAGGGTGACCAGGGCCTCCCACACCTGAAACACACATGGAGATTATAAAGTTAGAACTATTATAGTCGTTAAAGATCAGTCATCCATCCATCCATTCATCTATCCATCTTCTTAACAGCTGAAGTAACTCTGAAGGAGGAGCTCTGAACCCGGGATCTGCTTGCTGTGAGGCGACCTGGCCCATAAGGAAACAACAGTATGTGGTCACATTTGGATTCACAAGTTAACATCACTACTTGTGTGGTAAAAAAGAATAAGAGATATCTTTGCTTAGAAGTTTGTCCATCAGCAAGCAGGAAGAAGACGATATTGACATGTCTCCCTCCACATATTCCCCAACCTCTAAAACAAATAAAAGACAAAAACTGCTCCGTGTCAAAACTATTTCCTGATCACTTCGCTTCACGTCTTCATGTTAGAGGGTTCATTTGAGAACTTACCAATTTACCAAAAAGATGAATAAATATCTGGTATGTTGCCACTGCACCTCTGAGCTCACTGATTCTTTCATCCTCTCACACTGAGTCTGCCTCACCTCCACGACACCCGGTGATATGATAGACAGGATAAGGTAGAGCCAGATGTAGGCGAAGATGCTCCAGAACGCGGTGATGAAGAACACCCGCAGATGTTTGATCTTCCGGCTCTGGCCGTTGGGGATCACCCACACGCAGATCCCGATGATCACAAACATGTTGAAGGCAGCACTGCCGACGATGGTTCCTGGACCCAACTGGCCAGCCTTGAATTCGTGACCACACACCTGCAAAAAGTTTGTAACAGGGAGAGGAAAGACAAGTCTACTTACCATCTGCATCTCAATAAACGATACACAGAGTTACTGTGTGTGTGTGTGTGTACCTCTATAACAGAGAGCAGTATCTCTGGAGCGCTGGAGCCCAGAGCCATGAGCGTCAGATTGGACACTGTTTCATTCCAGATTCGAACCGTCATCACTGACGTTTCCCCGTTAGGCATAGTGATGGTCACCTCCTTCTCCTGTTGGCCCAAACACACAATTTGTGTTAGCGTGCTTGATGTAAAAAGTCTGGACTACGTAGAAGGATGAAGATGTAACCTGCCCCACCCTAGGCTGAACAGAGAGTTAGGAAGATGCCAGTCCACGGTCTGTGTAAACCTCCACATCCTTATCAGATTATTTCTTCTTCTTCATCCACCAAGTAGTCATAGATACGCTGTTCATACCTCAAAAGAAGCGGCTCGTTCATGCACTGTTCGCTTCTATTCAGATTTTTTAAATTAGACACTGAATGGAGAGACTCGTTCTCTTCTCTGCTGTCACTCCTCTTCCTTTAGGCACATTTTCACGGTACCTCTTACAGTTTTTCAGTTTTGGTCAAAACTGTCCAGAGAAATCTCTCAAATCTCTCCCCGTTCATGTACACTGGGAAGCTAAAGTGAGGTTAGAGTGAGACATGCAGAAAATCTCGTCTGAAATTTTGGTATTTAATCTGCCGCTGTGACCACAATTTTTAACCTACAGCCATCATTTTACCTGCAAAACGTAGCTACGCTTGTTTGCTTTTCAAAAAGCCATGCCTCAAAGCCCACACATGCATACTTTTTGAACTACAGCCATTTGTTTCAGAGGAATGCCATCATGTGCTTTCATTCATGAGTTTCCAACAGTCATGGAGAGAAAGAAAAAATCTTTTTTAACTTGCTCTCCTTGTCACAGTCTGCTCAGGCAAACTGCATGGAGTGCAAAGAGTGGACCCAGGTCTGGACATACTAAAACTCAAACATAACTGATGATGAGCGGTTTATTTAGGCAGACAAAACAGTACAAAATAAAAGGATGAAAACAACATAAAACTAAACAATGACCTACACTGGGTAAACTAGAAAAGAAACAAGAACCAAGAAAAATCTTGGGGAACAGAAAACAAACAAGAAAAACTCTAAACATAGCAAAGTGATATGGAAATCTGAAAGCACGACATGGCATGGGAAAAACGCAGCCGATCCGGCAAGGAGTGACTGAAAACACTTGGACTAAATACACACAGGAGGATAATGAGGGAAGTGGGAACACATGGGGAAATGGCTGACACACATGAACATAACGACATAATGTCTACTAATTCAGTTTGCATGTTGAAGTATTTCTGGTCAAGATATATAAGATTGTTAGTATGTTAGGCAAGGTCCTTAAAGGAACATAATAGTTGTTTAAATGTGTTATTGGTTGACAGAGCACTCGGCATAGAAAAATAGGAATCTAAGTAGCAGCCAGTCCACACCTCCCTGTTGTTTCAAGAATGAAAAACCAAGAAGGATTTTCTTTTTTGCTAATACGTTTTCCATGGTGATCTGTATGAGCCTCTGGACAGTAAAAAGTCACTGTTCTCACATGCTGGGGCTGCAGATAATGCAGTGGGGCTGTATCCCAATTCAGGCTCTGCAGCCTTAAAGGCCGCATTTTAAGGCCGATTACGTCACAGCGACGCGACGAAGGCTGTCCCAATTCGCAGGCTGCTCGAAATGCGGCCCTCAAATGCGTCCTTCATTTCCCTGAATTTTAAGGATGTGGCGGCGTAGACTTCGTGGCCCAACATATCCCAGAATGCATAGCGCGGCGGTGGGTGTGGATAATTTTGCCGAAAAAAAACGGCGGAAGAGTAAACTTTTAAAAGTAAGTACTTAATATTATGTCACTTCTTTATGTGCAAATGTTTAATAACGAAGAACATTAAAATATTACTGTCGGCAAAGTTATGTGACATTAGTGACGTTTGTGCTAACTTGGTTTTAAAGCCTTTACTTTAAAATATACGCCGTTCAATAGCTGAGCTTAATCTTACAGAGAATGATCAAAGCTCATGTAGAAACAAACAAACAAATGAACAAAAGATTTTCTCCTTCATTTCTGTCAAACAAAGCTGAAAAGTTTCCAGCTGTTAGTATCATGGTTGCTAGGCAACCTGGGCAGCACGAAGGAGGCTAAACCGTCCCATTTCACAAGCCTCGCACTTCCGGCCTTAGCGGTCTTTGAGTACGCGGCCCTTGTGGACCGTTAAGGCTGCGTACTTTAAGGCTGCAGACCCTGAATTGGGATACAGCCTGGGTAGTACCGTTACCTCACAACGACAGTGGTCCTTTCAGTTTGCATCCCAACTTAGATGAAGGGGGACAATTTTTCTTCTTGTTAACAAGAAGAAGTTCAATATCTCTACCTGCTGAGAATTTGCAGTGAGAACAAATCTTCCATGTTCTCATCCAGTCCTGTGTTTTAAAAACGACCTTCCCATTCCACTAAACAGCATTTTTAATTACATCTCAGGAAAGCAGTTTTGCAGTTTTAATACCTTACATTTAACAAGATAGGCAGTGTCATCCAGCCAAGTAGAGTTTGACTTCCAGCTACTCACTCACTTATTTTCAGATTAGATTTTCTTTCAAATGTAATTTTCATACTCCGTGTTGTTGTGTTGTAGGCACCAAAACTATCAAGTTTTCATTGAGGGAAAGGTTTGGATTCAAATACAAATGTTCATAATGTTAACCACATTAGAGGCTTGAGCTCCATTTTCTGCAGCATAAGCCTGAAAACATTAACAGAACTAAAAAAAATAAAATAAAAAACTAAAAGTCAAATATTTTCACAGTTTAAACATTTGGATCCGTGAACATGACTTACACTATTTTTCATTAACTTCTCCCAAAACGGTTAAGTTAACAAAAAAAAAAGTTTAAAACTCAGTTAAAAACCTGAAGGTTGAAAATGTGCTTCCTATCTAAAGTCAACATTTATTACTGGCTTTGAAAGGGAATTTTTATATATGCAGCCAGCAAGTTTGCTTTTACTCCCGTTCCTCATTTCTTTCTTGATCACGCGTACAGTCTATGACCACAAAGAAAGAAAATAAACAGAAAAGCCACGTTGATAATAAAGGTGTCTGTTGAAAAAAGAATCCACGAAAAAAACAAAACACATTTCCCTCTAAATCAGAATTCAGTTTATGTGAGTGGGAATGTAATTTTTCTGAGTCGTGGCTCTCTTGTCGTATTTATCTACATAGAGACAAAGAGACAGATTTATCTCTCTGCTTCTGCTGTATTCATCACCATTAGCAGTTTATTCGCTGACATAGTCGTTACTACATTTACTCTGTTTCCTTTGCATTCATAAATCCTCATAACAGGAGCTCACACAGGAAGTGAAGTGTAGAACAGCGGTCCCCAACCTTTTTTGCGCCACGGACCGGTTTATGCCCGACAATATTTTCACAGACCGGCCTTTAAGGTGTCGCGGATAAATACAACTAAATAAAACTAGTACCGGTACTGAAAAGTTATTCATAACACACGTGAAAAGACCCAGGAAAACCGAGTTAACGATAAAAACGATAACAAAATAACGCTCAAAACCGATAAAAACCCTGAAAACCATACATTTCACAGCTGAGCCTCAACTCTCGCGGCCCAGTACCAAACGACTCACGGACCGGTACCGGTCCGAGGTCCGGGGGTTGGGGACCGCTGGTGTAGAACATGTAGGGTCAGCACTCCCACATACTCCTGCAGTGTACAGACACACCAGCACACAGACTGACCGGAGCCCTGACCGGTAGATGGTGCAGAGGTGGTGCTGTGCCTGCCACGGTGATGGATTGTGGGGTACACACTCAGATATCCGTGTACACTGACCATGAAGGGGATGGATGAGCTAATGTTTCCTGTGGCTTCTACCACCATGCCTATTACTTTGTTGTCTTTCCCGTTATAGAGCCCCTTATCTGACAGATTTCTCATTACATTCAATCTCAGTGTAATTCCTCTGGATCCCTGTATATGTACCTGTTAGGCTCAGGGAATGACCTGAATGGAGTTGGACAGCTCCTGTGGAAAGATGAGTTGCGGTCAAGAGGCTCCACTAAAAATGATTTACTAAGCTGTCACCGGAACCAAATTAACCTGGACTGCATTTGACCGTGTGACTGGTACTTTAAACTAGATGGTGGTTGTTTGCCTCCACAGCTGTTTTCAGGCTGGATGCCTGCTTAAATTTTCCAGAGTAAATAAATGCACTTGCTTATTTTCAAAAGTAATTAGTTACTTAGTTACTTTTTAAAAACACGATTTACAACATGAATAGGTAATAAAGCGATAGATCTTTTAGCCCAATTCTACTTTTTTTGCATAATCCATCATATAAAATGTAATCAAATGGAAAAGTCTCTTTCTAAAACTTGTTTTGTTAGTTTTAATCTTTTAACTTTATGCATCAAGCAAACATTAAATGATATGCAACATTCTCTGACTGGAAGAAATTTGTTGAACATTTAAACCTATTTTCTGCACATTCCAGCACATAAAATAAAATAGTTGTTTGTGTTTACACTCACTCTTTCTAATAGATGTGAGTAAACCACAGCAGAAAATAAATAAAATCAAAGACTCAGCGGTCCTGTTGCTCTATTTTCACCTGTTTAGAAGGAGTGGGGCAGGCGGAGGTTTACCCTGGTGCAGGTGTGTTGTAGCGGTCAGTGGAAGGATCTGGGAGTTTCACATTCCCATGGCAGCGTACTGTCGGTGCTTGCTCAGAAGTTTAGGGGGTTTTTCGCTGTAAAAAGAAGTTTTCTTCCCACGCACAGCGGACTAAATGTTTTTGTCACTTTTTATGGAATCAAACTCAAAGTAAGGTCAGTACTTCCACGCTTTAAACGCTGCACGCTCATACTCTCTCCCGCACTCGATATATTATTCATTGTTGATCTGCACACAGCTGTTGCCACGAACATCGCACTCGCTTACGTCACTGTCATGAGACACTCGTCAAAAAATCACGGTTTTAGTAACGCAGTAACACAGCGTGCTTACGGGGAAGTAACAGTAATCTAATTACCTTTTTTGCAGTAGTAATCCCTTACTTTACTGGTTACTTGAAAAAAGTAATCGGATTACAGTAATGCGTTACTTGTAACGCGTTATTGCCCATCTCTGCTGAGGAGCATAGCTATCCATGGTTGTTTCAATGAATAACTTTTAATAAATGTTTCCAAGTGTTTAACACTTCTGCAGTGGCAAGCACAAAGACTGTTAATATATGCTTTCAACATCTTAATGCGATATGCTGTGGTGGTTACTTGTGGATATGGTTTCTAGTGCTTGTGTGGCAGAGAAAAGTGTAAAGGTGTAAAAGGAGTCAGACTCCTGGATTAAAATGCAAAAACAGGTCTCAACTAAAGTCCAAAATAAACAACCTCTACAAAGTAAAGACATGCAAAAAAAAAATTGAAACAAACATAAATCCAGAGACACAAGAGGCCTAGCAGAACACAGGAGGTCACTGGGAAATAACTCTGAGCTTGCCACGCAGAAAATGCACAAAAGGCAAAGAGAAGGTAAGACTATAAATACACCGGGAACGGATCGGGGAATGAGAAACAGGATGGGGACCAGACGCAACTGTGTCCAAATCTGGAGGCTGCATGTTTCGAAGGACGTGGCCTACATAGGGCACACCTTCACAGGCCACAAAAACTTCAGAAACCGGAAGTGTAGCCGATCAGCGCTGCCTCTGTTGCCTAGCAACCATGAAACTGGCAGCTAGAGAGGTGTTGGAGAGAGATGGAGGACAAAATCCCTAATGCCATGTAACTTGTATGAAGCCAAATTCAATGTTATAGAGCGATATACATTTAAATGCAGTGACTGCTTCCCTCAGACTGTCAGTCTGACCTCCAAATGCAACCTTCAAAGGATGCAGCCCCTGAATTTGGAAACACTTAATCAGCCAGTCAAGGGAAGACAAGAAAATAAAATTATCACATGACATGAAAGAAAATTAAGCTTCAAAGCAAAACATGGTGGAACCAGAAGAACCAGAAAGAACATCCGAGAACAAAGTTATAAACACACAGATGAAGGAAGAGAACACTGACATCAATAACAAACCCAAAATATAAGAAATAATAATAATAAACAAGGAACTGATAACTGAACATGTGAAATCGAACTTAAATGATAAAACTAAAGTATAGTATTAGCAGAATGGTAAAGTCATCACAGCCAAAACCCCCCAAAAAACAAAACAAAAGTTCAAAACTTTAACCTCAAAATGACACGTGGTCACTATTCATGTTCAGGGATGTTTGGAAAATATAAATAAAATAATAATAAAGCCTGTAAGAGTGCGGTGTATGGGGCACAGAAATGTGACAAAATCTTTTAACTAACATTAAGTCTTAACTTTCTGAATGAAGTAAGCAATCTATAATAACAAAATCTGGGTTGATTCATTATAAAATGTAAATTAATCAAAATCATGTAACATACCCTCTTTAAGTGCTGCACACTCAAAATAAAGAAGCTAACTCCTGTTTCTTATTGACCTCTAAGCCTCTGGTAATAAAGGTATTCTTGCCCTACTTGCCTCTCTCTGCAGAATACAAGCAGTCATTGGCCATCTGTCTATATGCAGCTTACATGATAGAAGTGAGGAGACCGACTCTTTCCTGCTGCTGCAACCGGAGGAATGAAATGTGTGGGTGGAGTGTAATTGCATCTCCAAGGAGTTGAGCTAACACTGATGTTATAAGTCCTGTCAGACAACTCCAGCACTGAGCAACATTTTACTCTGAATGTGTAAAATTACTCCTTGGGAGCTGAAATAAACTCAGAAATGTTCTGTACTCAAACTTTAATACTTTGTTTTTTTGCTGTTCTACCCACAACAGAAAAGGAATCATATGGAGAGTATCGTGTAAGACAAAATCTTATACTCTGTAGATGTTAGCATCTTTTTTTTAAAACCAGAAAACAGCTTTGATACTGGGAACAGCGTCTCAATGTCCTCGTTTCTCACTCCAGCTGACCTTCATGCCTCCTCATCCTCCTTTCAAACTGGACCTCAGGGTCCACTGAAGCCTCAAAACTCAGGCGCAATCGTCTTTTGTTAAAAAACACTGCATACACTGCATAACCTCAAGACCCGATCCATTAAAAGCCACCTGGGACACAAACACACACACCCTGTGAGCTGTACTCCTGCAAAAACATCACGACAACTTTGACAAATAACAACTCTGTCTGCTGACTCTGAAAACAGCTGAGGGTCATTTGCACTGTTACAGTTTGCAGTGGAAATGGAGAGAGGAGGGGAATCTATGAAATTGCCATTAAAGGAACTGCTTTACAGGAAGGAGACGACTGAATGATGAAGCGCACAAATTCACTTCACAGGTTCCAGCAAATCATTTATGGCTTCATTGAAGACGGGAACACAACTTTATTAATGCATTAACATGAAGTAGGTCTATTTTGAAGTGTTTGGTGCACGGTCAGCAAACAGTCTGCACTATAGCTGAGTGAAAACACTCGACAGGTGGAAGCTTTATCTTTCCTTTCCTTTTGGATAAAGCTTGTAGTAAGAGCTGGATCAGGTGACGCTGAACCATCCTTATAGACTCAGGCTGCTGGGGGACTTCCCATCATGCACAGAGCACTCCTCCTTCACTCCCCTCTTTTCACTTTTCCACCACCACATGTCATTACATTTAACTTTCCTCTCTCCTGTAGTTTGCATTTTTCCTGTTTGTTGCTCATGTTCTCTCTTTCTTTCCTTTTTTATTCTCCTTTTTTTCCTCAGGGAGGGGCAGCCATCTGCAGATACTGGCCCCTGTGAGCAGCACTCGGAAACAGTGCTGCTCACAGGGGATAGTCTGTTGGTTTTCTCTAATAATGGCGTTTTTAACCTTACAAAGCACATTGGAACACCTATTGTAAATACATTCTGTGAAAATGAAGGTTAATCAAAAAAACTTTTCCATCAAAGATGTATGAACAGCAATTTTCACTGCAGTTTCATGAAATGGTCCCAAATTATTCCGGCACACAGTCTGATGGTAGAGCATCGTGGTCGGTGTAATAGTTCATGTTCATGGACATAAGTCATGTACCTCCAGGCTAAAAGAGCAACAAAGGCCAAATTAGGAAGTGGAAGATCATAACTTTCTGATACACTACCGTTTGAATCCCACACCTTGCTTCAGATTACTTGCAGCTCCATAGTGTAGTGGTTCACACATTTGCCTAACAACCAGAGGTTCCCCAGGAGAAGACACAAATCCTTTGGGGGTTGCATCAGGAAGGACATCCGGTGTAAAATCGTCCAAATCAAATACACAAAGCTATCCGCTGTGGGGACAGCCTCGTTAATTTCTTTGTTATTACGACTCAAAATAAATAAAGGGAAGGCCGCTTGTAACTTGGATTGATCGATATCTTTGTGCACTTTTTTTAAAACTACAAATTGTAGGTTCAGCTGTTGTTGATGTTCAGCTTCACTTGCTGCTGAAGCATTCTTACTACATTAATGAATATTTCATGGTTCTGTTTAAAGTATGTTCACCTGGTAACTGAAAACTGATTTATTAGGTTGCCTGTCGTGTAAAGACACACGACGCCAGCATTACTTTTAAACCTGCGCTGAGCGACACAAAGAAAATGAGGGCAATCCTGTGTTTGTAAAGAAACAGATCATATTCATCACTATTTCCTGATTGACCATGAGACTGCACTGATGTGAAAGGTGTGCTTGAGTTTTGATTCCATGTTTCTGGGTAGTACATCCTTTTTCCAGATCTCTGTGGTGGTCACCTGACAAAAGTTTAAATAACTCGTAGAGTAATTTGGCCTGGAAGATGGTCGACACCCTGCTAGATTTGTACAATCTATGAGTTTGTAATTCCTACATCATTGGTTCCAAAATGGTGTGCTGAGGCAAATCCAGGTATGCTGACATTTATGACCACCGTGTGTTTTGTTTTTGGAGCATACCACAACTTATCCTCACTGCAGTCTATCTGTAACCTGAAGAAATAAAAGATGAAAAACTAGCAGCTCTCAAAGTTGAGAAGTTTGCAAAAACGACCCGTCTGAAAGCTTCAGCGGTGAGGTCAACAGGCCTTGGAAGCTAAACATCCCCCCTCATGCAAACTGAGATCCAAACAAAAACCATTTATATCAACTATACCACCCGTGGATTGAGTGCATTTGCCTGACTCAAGGTATATGTCATGTTCAAGCTTGTAAGATGTAATTTTTGCTTTTATAAATAGTTAAATGACTTTTGTCATCCTACCTGAGATGTGATGACCTCTATGGATGCCATGAAGCGGTCAGCAATGATGGACACTCCCAGGAACATGTACATGAGTGACAGGAAGTAGACCACAGCTCTGGCCACCTGGTAACCGACTCCAGGGTTTTCGGGGTACCAGACAGGTAACAGGATGCCCGGCTTGCACACGGTCACCTCATCACACTTATCCCCAATGCTGGGTGATGTACTATTATCATTAGATAAGGAAGGCAGGACGGAGGAGGAGGGAAATATGGAGGGCAAGGCTGTTCTTGGGTCAGGGTTCATGCTGGGGTCACTGCGCTGGGACTCTGGCTGGCAGGGTGGCAGTGGAAGGAGGAAGAGGAAGAAGAGGAGGAAGGGGGCAGGAGAGGCGGAGAGAGACATCACGACGTTTGATTCCCACGAGAAGCAGGAAAGACGAGGCAGAAGATGATGGGAATAGGCAGAGGAAGAAGAAGACGGGAACGGGAGATGCTGGGTACAGCCGAGGGTGCTGCGACTAGCTCACCTGCAGAGGGGGGAGAGAGAACGAGAAGGAAAATCAGGATTAGTTCATGAATAAAGAGAAGAAAAGGCTTTAAAAGCTGTACTGAAGACCAAACAAAGAGTGCATTTGAAGCTTATGCAACATTAAGCAAACACTAAAAGAAGTGTCTTCTATGCTGTCAGACACTTTTTAATGAAAACACTGAGGGAAGAATAGAAAGGAGAGAAGAGTTCTGGCTACGCTAGGTTTTAAAAATCACACAAACTTTTTACAGTTGCATCTGTGGTTTTACCAAAGTTACACAAATTTACACCCTTCCCAGCAAAATGTGTCAGTGTTGGTGTGAAGCCAGTTCTGTGGTGGAGCCTTGAGAGCCAGCCAACATTTCGACAGGTTTCAGAAACGATTCTTACACAGCTTTTGTAGGAAAAGGTGTGAAACCCTTCAGAGGATAATAACACAGAGGTCGTCATCTGTATGATCTCTACACCTTCAATGCAATAGTGAAATTCTCACTGCAGCCCCTCCCATAGTCACCACCCGTCTTTGATATTATAAAGGTATGGAACCACTAAGCACTGATCTATACATGCATCCACCCACCCAAAGGAATTAATGAGCATAGATACAATATTCATTAACTGGCACTCCATTGGTGGAAACTGGGTACCACTCAATATCCACACTGCTGTCTAGTTCCAGCAAGAAAATGCAGCTCAGAGAATAATGATGATGCAGTTATATCTGGCTCTGTAATCTTACTGTTTCAGCCCAGCAGCGCTGTGATAGACTTACAACCTTTCCAGGGTGTACCTCAACTCTCCACATCACAGCTGACGTAGGCTCTATTTCCCCGCGACCTTAAACTGGATTATCAGTTAAGAAAATGAATGGATGGATGTTTTAACTAAGAAGTTTACAACATGTTCCTCATTACACACTCAGTGGCAGCAATAGCAGTTGCTTTCCAAAATTTATTTCATCAAATTAAAATTCCAGCCCTGCACTTGGCTTGCTCTGCACCCAAGAAATACTTTTTTGAATATTTGTAGATAGATATACGTCAGTATATCGATTTCTTTCTCTTTTTAAAGAGTTTCACCAGAAACAGTTTTGCCTTATTTATACGATGATGAAGTCATCACCCTTTAGATGATGACTTCACTGACCCTTATCTTTTGAGGAAAATGTCAAATTTGTCACAAAATCACACCTCTTGACTTTAGCTTTCATTTTTCATTTTCACCGTGCTGCATCTCTCACCCATGCGTTCGTTGCCTTCTCCCTGTAATGGCATTTAATCTAGAATGCCTAGCAAAGTCCTGGATAGGCGACAGGATTTCCAAAACTCGACTGCCAGGCTTTGCTGGCAGGACATAATGCCTACTCTCAGCCACCTACACTAGTGTATTAAATAAGATTCTCCTCCTAAAAAGTCCCTTCACAGTGTTCATTGCAGTATTCATTCCCCCTCTGATACAGGAGAGCTGTTTATCCCCTCTCTACATTGCTGATCCTGTGGCACAGAGCTGTTTGTGATGGGGCTTCGGTGCTTTGGAGTTCTCTCCCGCTCCTCATTCAAGGAATAGAAACTCCAGAGCAATTTAGGAAAATCAACCTTTTCACACTGGCTTTTGTTCCCACTCAAAGTAACCTTACTTTGTTGTCCCCTTGATATTATTTTGCAGTGCGTTTTATGTATGATGTTTTTGACCTTGCATTCATACTGTAGCTCTTGTTTTTCATATGAAAGCAGAAAATAACTGGATTGTGAATTATGTAAAGATTTCCCCGTAAATATAGACAAAGGAAGTTGTAAGTGAACGCTGGCAGGTATAAAAGGGTGGATTCACTCTTGAATGAAACATTGAGGTGAGTCACCAGAACACAGAAAAATAATTATTTTATCTCTATATTATCAAGGCTCAATAGAAAAAGCTGGAGCAGAAGGCTAAGTGGAAGAAAGGATGACAAATGCAGACAGAAAAGAATGAATAATGGATGAATATAGTAGTGTGTGACTTTTAGTTCGGTTTAGTGTTACCTCGTGTCGCATAAACGTCTTAAAAGCAGCATTTTCTCTATTGTTTACCTTGAACTTCAGATGGAAAGAAAAACAAGTGAGGCAGAAACCCGGAGCAGGGGTGAGAACAAACGGAAAAAGGACAAACAAATGCAAAAAACTCTGAGTGAAAACATGAGAGACAGAAGAAGAGAGGGATGGGAGGAAGAGAGTCAAAAGATAGAAAGACGGTACAAAGAAGCCGAGACAGCAGGGAGGACGAGTCGCCATGATGGCCTCCAGAAAAAGAGGCTTGTTTTTGTTTGAGTCATGCAAACCCAGAACTGCTCACCAAATGTCTTTCTGCTCTTTCCCTTTTAATTTGAGACACCAACACACTAACAATGCTAACGCTTGTCTGAGGTAAGTTTGTGTGTGCGTGAGCATGCAACGTCACTTCTGCCAACTGGTGAAATTTAGACCTCAGCGTGAAACCAAAGGATGGACAGATGGACCGAACAGTGTTTCCTGCAGTTTGTGCAGCAGTGCCTAATCTTCCACCTCGCTCTCCCTCTCACGCTTCATCTCTCTCCATCCGTCCATTAGTGAGGAGGGAAGCACCTGCTAACACCTTCTGTTTTACAACATTACACACCTAATCTGCTCTCATATTAATTTGGTTGATGAAAATATGAAAATTATGCTCATATAAAAAAAAAAGATAACTTCTATAATCCTGCTGTTTATCTTTCTTTTGGTTTTTTTTGGAGAACACAGGTTTAGTTATTCCATCAGAAGCAGGACTTCTGAAGCCATCAGATCACTGAAAAAGACGACCAGAGCTCTTTTTAGGCCAGGATCCAGTTTTACATTTACACAACAGCAAAGAAAGAATCACACTTCCCAGCAGTCACACACACAAAGGTCAGCCAATTCAAATATTAGATGCCACCTTTACAAACATCATGCACGATTAGTTAGACGATTAGATTCTGTGTGGTTTCAGCTTGTGTTTGTATAAGAAGACATGTTTAGTCTCCATATTTGCTCCTGTGTATCTACTGCAGCCTGAGCCCAACAGGACAAAAGCAAAAGTGTGTCAAAAACTGCTGTTCTGTCTGCAGTCGCTCGCGTAGCTGGTACACACAAGTTGTCCTTTGGCGGCATCATGCTGCACCAAAGTTTTTAAGCCATGAATCATCAGTCTGATTGCTGTAAACATATAAATACTTTGGTAGCACAGCTCCATAATGCTGCATGATGGATGCACTGGCACGGCTGTGTGAAAGAAGCAGCCGTTGATTAGTAGGTTCGTTTCTATGCACCAGCACCCATGAGGTGCTTTGTATTTACGAGCCATTCAGAGGGCAGAATCTGAAGCTGATTCATGTGTGCACACTTCCACAAGGACTGCGGTTCATAAAGGAAACACCGGCTGCGAGTAAGGTTTTATAAACCAGATTACAGTATGGATCCTACATATTGTTTTATAAACGAGGCTGAAGGACTGCAGAACACAAAATCAGGCTGTCAGGATAAAATGTGCTTTCCATTGTCTGCCTAGGAAAGTGTGCTTGTTCTCAAAAGAAAACAAAATAAATTTATATGAGTAGCTCCAGGCTGTCCTGTTGGACTGTTTCATATTAGACTTCAGTTATCAGCTGAGAAGCTTAACAGAGGCTGCTGCGAACCGGCTCTTAAGAAATATAACCGAAACTAAAAAGTGATTTTAGTGAAGATTTTTAGAAAAGAATACGGCACTTTTGATGTAAAGTCTGTAAAGACTAATATTTAATGATCATGGTAATAACAAAGTTTGTATGAATAATATTTACAGTCATTAATGGGTTAATTTTCTGGATTCCAGATGCATCTGGACGGTCTCATTTTGCCTGACTTTAAAACATGAGAAATCAACAGTCAGCTGATATTATACCTTATGTTAATAATGTTATACTTTATGTTAATAGAAGATCTGACTAGAAGACATGTGTACGTGTATGTGGAAAACATCAGGCTGAACACTTCCAAACCTCGGTGCAGTTTTTGCTGTCGGACAGAAATCACTGCTGACTAGAGACTTTCAAAAGTGATAAAAATGACTGACTTACTTTGATTATGGTGTTGACTAAACTGCTCATAAGACACAAACATTTCCAGGATGTCTGACCAGAAATAAATGTAGAAAATTAGACGTTGAGGCTCATGAGAATCATTTTGTTGTTGGGTTGAAACATTTAGATTCAGAAAGAGCCATAACCCAGCCCCTGTAACCCGGTGACTAAAACACAGGTAAGAGAGAGGAAGGAGAGACTGAGGATTAAAATGTGCTCTGATGTATGCATGCCTTTCAGTATAATGAACACTTTAACATAAATATTACTGCTGAGGTTATTTTTTTACTGAGCCTTTCACAAATATGAGCAGAAATTTGTTTTTTATTGTGCATATCAACCATAAAACCATTTCTAAAGACAATTCTGTGTTTTTAAATGTGCTTATGTGGGTAAACTAATGATAATAATTACACTGAGGTATTTCATTAATCAGCTTATGCGAGCACCTCCAGATTGAAATGCTTAACAGACTCCAGTGTGATTCAGCAGAATTAGATTAGCTTCAGTATCTTTTGACTGACTCACCTAGACTGCTGCAGCATTTACTCCCTGCTTAAAAATGCAATTTGAAGGAGTTTAAAGAAGAAAATGATCTACAGAAGATTTTATGGTTTATTGTAAAAACACAAATGAGCAACGTCTACAGAATAAGCCAAAACACCAAAGAGCATGCTTTATGAGTCAGTATTTATGCACAGACAGATGGGTTGTTTAGTGAAAAGTTGATAATATAAAGATGGATGAAGGTCATTTATTGAGAACTGGAAAAAGTGAGAGATGGGTGGGAAAAGAGAAGGATGTACCCATGAATAAAAGAAAGAGGAGAAGAGTTGTGTGAAACCCAAATGGGAAATTAGAGATAAAAAAAATGGGGCCAGCAGGAAAGGAGGAGTTAAAGACAG